TAAATAAATTTCAATCTTACTGAAGGTTAGTCGTGATCTAGATAGCTCAGTGATACCGCCGCTCACAGTGAAGCCAGGTGATGCGAGATCGAATCTTGCAGGTTCATCTTCCTGACGAGCGTCAAATTGCACGAAATTTAGATCCAGGGTTTCTTGTCGACTAATTCCACCTTTTAGCATTAGCATTTGATTTCATTGCGTAATCACGTTTAATCTGTTATTTAACAGATGAATAACATTCATACTGTTATTCTAGAATTAAAAATATTGACGAAGTTCTCATTATTTAGTTCAAATATAATTGAAATAGAATGAAGATGGGTAGAAGAAAAGATAACTTCTCGAGAGTATGTTAACTGATCAATATTTCATTAAATAGTTATCTTCATTTCGTTATATTCAAGTATACTTTTCTGAAAATAAAACATTAGTTGAAATATTTTCCCTGATGAGTTTTATAACGATAACTGTCTGAAATAATGCAATTTGTATAAATGTAGAACATATTTCAAGATTACGATGAATGTGCTTGTTATAAGATTACACTTGAATAGCTCTTATATATATATATATATATATATATATATATATATATATATCATGAAGATTACACAATAAATTTTTGAGCAATATTATATATCTAGGTCACTTATGGTGATTTCTACCTGTTACTGTCACTCAATTCCGGACAAAGACTATATTTTGCACTTCTGCAAATTACTGCTAAACGTGTTATTTTCTCAAGTTTAGATTTTAATGGGGTAGTTATTCAGTATATGAACGGTATTTGCGCATGCGTATTATTGCATAAAGATAAATATAAGAAGGTGAAACTTATTATGTATGATTGAGTTGTATGCACATTCTTATTCAGCCTATATCATATATATGAATAATGTGAATTTATTACTCTTGAATTATTTAATAATTAGTTGTATTATCTTCTTGACAAATTTTATTGATGTTTGAAACCAGATCAGTTGTAAAATGAATTTAATCTACGTACCTTTTAGCCAATCCAATTCCATTTCTTATAGGTTTGTGGAAATTGTTTATTGTAGATATGAATGTTTCATTATGAAGGTTTTATTGAGACCACGAATTGATCTCCGTTAGATAACGAATGGAAACCTGGGAGTATTGGACTTCGTTTCATCTTAGTATAAGAGTTCTCAGCAGTGCGCATCCATTACTCCACTACTGGCTATTGAGTTCTTGTAAGTGCACTTCTGAAGAGTCCCACACTCAAACAAAATGACAAACAAGCTCTTCCAGGTTTTCAGTGATTGTTTAACAGATTGGTTTTTGGTCATAATAAATGTAAACAATCTCTAAAACCTCATACTAATAATCATTTTAGTTAGAAAATCAATGAAACGTATGGTATTGTTTTATCCTAATTTGAGACTCCTCACCGAAGCTCATTTTATTAATCCTTCAGGGATCAAAATTGTAACCTTGAGGTTTACTAACGTGCTGAATACATTCAGACTATCAGATTACGGACTGACAGTTTATACTAATACACAATGTGTATTTATCAAAATTATTGTATACGATGTAAAAATTTCAAATTTAACAATCTTTACAATACAATAAATCATAGAAATAAGTCATAAACTAGTTCTTTTCAATTTCAAACTTAATTCCTTTGTATTATTGATAGAAATAGATCATCTTAATTAATTTTTTTTTTCTTCCCATTATCTTTATTTATCCATCGAATAATGTATTATTTACTAAAGTAATCTGTTGATTATAATGATGGAACTTTTTTTCAATAAAAAAATAAATAATAGACATTAACACTGTTGGATGCTGGCCGGCTCAATGGTCTAAAGGTTAAGTGCTCACGCGCGAGACTGACAGGTTCTGGGTTCGAATTTCGCGGGGGGGGGCGGGATCGTGGATACACACTGCTGAGGAGTCTCATAGTCGGACGAAACGGCCATCCAGTAGTGCTTTCATGTTTTCCATGGTGATCTAGCTTCAGTCGGCTCATGATTTCAACTAGTGAAATTTCTAAACTCTTCACAAAACCCCCCTCTGAAAACAAATAAATAGTTTTATTAACTTTCCAATATTTAGATTAACTAACATCGGTAAATATTTTCGGTAAAAAAGAAAAAAAAACGTTGCGCATTACCGATCTGTACAAAACTTATTTTCATTAGAATTTCTTTTTAAAGACTGACATTATTTTATGTATTATGTAATAAATAACTGATTCATTTATGAATTATATTTTACAGTATAAACACTGACTAATAAAATTGAAATGAATATAGTATAATATAATGTCCAAATTATATTTGTTTCTATATGAAAACAAATAAAAATGGATAAGCCGATAGGATGATTATTAAAATTGTGGTACTGATTTTAAAAATTGTTATGACATTTATTAATTCTAAGTTAAAAACACATTAGACATTGAATAAAAAGAAAAATTTAAAAAAAATGGACCCAATAAATCTATTTTGGTAAATAAACCAAAAGTTTATTACAAAAAAGAAAAGAAAATATATCTGGAATTTGTTATATCCTAGTGAAGGTTACATTACTAGTAACTACAGGAACTAATAATGTACTATATATATATATATATTACTTACTTACGCCTATTACTCTCAATGGAGCATAGGCCGCCGACCAGCATTCTCCAACCCATTCTGTCCTGGGCCTTCCTTTCTAATTCCATCCAATTCTTGTTCATTTTTCTCATGTCTATCTCCATTTCTCGACGTAATGTGTTCTTTGATCTTCCTCTTTTCCTTTGGCCTTGAGGATTCCATGTGAGGGATTGTCTTGTGACTCAGTTGGGTGCTTTCCTCAATGTGTGTTCTATCCACTTCCAGAGCTTCTTCCTGATTTCTTCCTCCAGTGCGATCTGGTTTGTTCTTACCCACAGTTGGTTATTGCTGATAGTGTCCGGCGAACGGATCCGTAGTATTTTGCGTAGACTATATATATTCCTATTGTATGATTACTCAGTGACTAGATTGTGTTTATCTATATTCATCTTATTATAAGCTTCATTTTGACCTATAGTATTATATCCTAGAGAAGATTAAATTACGAGTAACTTCTGAGACCTATTAATGGACTAATATTATTTGTATATTCTTATGGTATAATTGTTTAGCGATTAGATCATGTATATCTATATTCTCCCTTATTATAAACATCATCTTGATCTATAGATCATTATTATACGATTCACTGTTCTTATGTTATACTCAGTTTTGTAATCACTATCTCCCACGTTCACCGCCACCTTTGGCTATATTTTGCACAAGTATTATTTCTGTCTGTCTGGCTGATAATATAAACCAAGTATGTTTGAAATAAAGGATCCACATAGTGGAATCTGTTATTGGTGTTCTAGACTCAACTGGACGAGCTAGGGGAGCAATCGACCAATAAGGACGCTCGGCTGCTCATACCGCTCGAACGTCTTTGGTTTAGCACAGTATAAGATTGAATATGTCGTTTTTCGATGGGCGAATAAATCACGTGATAAAAAAGCCGGGCTTAAAGTCACAACAGGATTATTTTAAAAATCAAAAATAATGGCTGATTGTTTTTCTTATAAGTGAAAAAATATTGGATTCTTGTTTAATTCATTATAGAATTCGGCTTGGTTTTATGAGAAAATATTGTACTCAGTACCTTAAACATACGATTACACCATCTTTGGGTATTTATTCTGTAGTTTTTTTTAATGAATGCTGTTTACGAACAAATATCAGTTAGAACAAACAATTGAAAACTAGGTGGCACTGAATTGTGGTTTTATTCTAATTTCCGGTTCTTCAGCGGAATCCACTTATGATCTCGGATGGCATCAAGCATATGACTTTGAGTTTTTGTTGTGAGCATGATACGTTTAGATCAGCTAGACAAGGTACAATATTCAATAATTCTAACTTGAGTCAATTTGTAATGATGGTCAATTTAAGAGCGTAGTATTTGAAATGGATATGTTTTTTTAATACTTATTATGTTGTTAATCATTTCATGTTGTGAAAAACGTTTCAGTTGTTAGTATGTTCTCGAATAGTTTCACCTACTTCATAACTTCTCCTTGATTTGTATCCATTATTCTGTAAGCTGAATAAACAGTTTCACAGAATATGATCCTTCTACTATACAGAAAAGATTTAGATTATATGAATATTTGTCTTTTCCTAAATTCCTTAGCTTTGTAGTGGCTTTGCTTCGTTAATCAATCACTTTGATAACCGTTATTATATAAATTTCAACGGCGTTTATAATCAAAAGGCAATGAGAAGCGTCAATTACAGTTCATTAGCGGATAGCGCAGATCACAAAGCTATAGGATCTTGAGGTAACAAATTGTGTATGAACCTATTGTTGGTCACCAGCCACTATGGGACTGCATCTATAACGTCGCCCTACTATCTTGTGGATTAAACCTCTAGGTCAAAGGCTTGGATCGGGGAGTAACCCACTAAGAAAACCACCTGCTTCGACTTAGGCACCCGGGCAGTATCCTAGATCTTACACATATCGAATGATTTGTGTGGTGCACATATATTTTATGCCTCCTCATGCCAATGTTTATGTGCTGAAATAAATAAAATGGTGTCTTCATCACAGCAAAATAGTTCAACTTTATTCTAAATAATAGTAACATCATATTAATTTCTAATCTAATAAATTATTGAATAGTCGGTTCAACACAGTTGCTGAAAAATTCTTAGGCAAGTCTAATCAGTTTTTCAAATGATATTCAATACCTAACGTAGTATTGGATAATACAACTTTTCAATGAAAACTCTTTAATACACAAGGAATCCGCTCAGTGATTCCTCTCATCATTTGTTAATCCTTTGATTTCGATACTCAAATGTATCTTTTCAACTCTATTTTTCAGAACTTAATTCATACATTGACAGTTTATTTACTAACCACTTCAGTTAACATTTCCATTTGTTTTTTCTTGATTTTAGCAAAATAACAACATTTGTTTCTTTATGGATAAAAACTTGAAATTTCATATGATTGATTCAGACAGTATAGAATTATTCAATTCATTATCACCAACCAAAAGTAGATCAACTGAAAAGAATAAACTTAAAAATAGTACATTTGGAAAAGATCACAATTCAATAGATCAACTGATTACAAGTAGTAACGCTAGTAGTGGATACTGGGAAGATTGTGATTCACTTGTTACAAGTGAATATGATGTTTTTGGATTGAATTGGGTAAGTAGTATTCACCTTATGAAATTTATGAATATCAAGTAAACGTCTGTGTCATTATATAATATCAAAGATAATTTTTTATACTAAATAAAGTACTCTGATTTCTTTTGTATTAAACTAACGTTTGTTATTTTCTTAGTAAACATTTCAATTTAGTGACTGAACGTTCCGAAATAATTTTGACAGATTATACATATCACTAGCCTTGACGCCAAGATATTGTTTACAATTTGGTGCATTAGTGACAAAGTATTTCTCGATTTGTCGCTAATTATTTCGGCCAAAAGTTTTCCATAAATACAAATGTAATTTGAATTGTTTGAAATCCGAATCTCTTAACTGGCTTTTGAAAGCCTGAGTTCATGAGCTTTCTAATAACTTCGCCTGTCGTTTATAATCTTATTATTATTATTAATTTATGCACTGTGATATAATATATACCTTAGTGATCAAGTACAATACATCTATTATTGTTAAATTCATATCATTATTACATTGTTGACTAAAAACTAGTCGACCGAATCACCTACATGAATTGGATTTTCTAATGTATTTTTTTGCTGACTTTCATTTGTTCTTTAATTTAGACAACTTGTCATCAAAACGCTAGAATAAAATGCAACAAATTGAAACATCGACCACTTCCAGATGCGACTAATCATTCATCACTAGTTAGAACTCGAAGTTTCCATGTAAAACCAAACGATTACATCAATAAAAATTCATATGAACAGTATACAAGAGATCATTATTCAGATTCAATTCTCAATACTTACTGTGAAGATATACAACTTACAACAAACTCTCAAAATAAAGCAGCTAATAATATACGTCAGTCATCGTTAGAAGATAATAATCATCTATGTATACCAAATGATTCACTGGTAAATTATTTTATATATATTTACTCGATGAACTTCATTTGATTTCTTTTATGATAACACCATAAGACCTAGTTGTTATTTTTCTCTAAAGTAACATCAAGACATAAAGCAAAATTAACAGTCATGTTCAGTTATTTTGAATGACATGAGTTCATTACATTTTCCTTCCACGTTGAATATTTCATATCAGCTTAGTACATCTTATAAAGTATATATTGGAATGATTCAATTCTAAAAAAATCTTATCAAAGGGAGAATATCTTTATGATAAAAAATTAGGAAAAAAACCACCTAACAATTATTGTTATATACTGTTACTTAGATTTAAGAATAGAAAAGTCATGATTTAAACCTCTTGTCAAGGTTGAATCAAAACTGACGAATGGTAATCAGCTTTTATTGTTTAAACAATAAATTTTATATCAATATTATTTAACAATTTGTTACATTTCGCTTACAGTGTATCTTAATTCTATCTACTGATTTACTTGTCTGTTGAATTGTTCAATTCATCATTTTACATTTTTGTATACCATTTTGAATATATATAGGGATTAAACATGATCTCTGTTAGATACCAATTTTTTTGTAATATTCACATGAAATATAACTCCAATCTAATTTTCTATAACAAATTAGTCCAATATAAATTTGTCAAGTACATAGGATAAAATCATTTTGGTGTCATTTCTTGAATTTTCCCCCAAACCCAGATGTCTTCCTTTGGAACTGTAAATTTAGCAAAAAAGAATCAAATCAAGAACAGATTATTTATTTGTTTTCTTTAAATAATCATTAAAAGAAATCACAGGAAATAACGGTAAGACTATAAATTATGGTCGACCTTCAAGCAATGTTAAAATGATCTTGAAATGTTCACCTACTTATCAGGATTAAATGAGGGTTATAGATTAGTATGAAGGAGTTAAGATTGCAATTTACAGTTGAATGTTAGGGTTAGGAATTAGATTTAATGTTTTCATCACGAACTGACATAAGTTATAATGCCAAAATAGTATTTAAACAAATGATTGAATGGATTTCACGCCAAAATCCAAGATCTGCTATCTGAAATGTGATTGGTTCATCCATAAATTATAGTCTTACCAAAGTAACTGATCTTACTTTTTAAAAAAACTATCATCAGTTTAATATTAACTTGTTAATTTATTTACGAAATATTATTTATGTATTGAAGAATGAATCTGATTCAGTAAGGAGGAAACCATTGTCTTCATGTTTACATAGTTTGATCCATAAATGTTTCATCTAGAAAAACACCCTTGAAAAAGAAATTCACTTCACATCACTTTTTCCTTTTTGTTTCCATTTGTACTTTTGATATCAGAAATAAAATTTATCATGGAATTTATTCAAATGATCAAATACTTTATCAATTTGTCCCACTTTTTGTGAAACCAGAGGACATATTATTTAAATAACAGTGAATTATCAGAAATTTATTTGATATTTATTTAACTGATATAAAAATTTCTCTAAACTATTAGTTTAATTGGTTGTTAAGGAAGGATTCATTCCTAACAAACCAATTTCTTGACGTTAAAAACATTATGAAATATGATCATAAATGTTATCAGGTATCCCATTTATGTGATAAACTTTCTTGTTACTTTAAATATCTAATCTCCCTCCAACAATATTGTCAATATTCTCATTAGATAATATATGTGATTATAACCCAACTACTACACTGAATATATATGTGTGGAGATTTTCAGAAGCTTACGAGATGCATAATTAGCCTGATGATTTCGTCTCACTATACTTGATGTGGTTTAGCATGTTAGATCGTTTTATGCTACTTACAGCCGACTGCAATTGACGAACGGATTATCTTTTTTCTTAGTGTTAAAATGATATTATATGTTTCAAAATTAATTTCTCGCATAAACTGATATCTAATGAAAAAGAATTGATTGACTTTATTTCAGAAAGCTTTAAGTGTTAAAGTTGACTATCTAAAATAAAACATTCTGAGGATGTTATGTTGTGGTGTATGCGATTTATGTTTTCAGGTATAAGTAGTATGTAACACCAGTAGTTATATTATGGGCTTTGTTTGTTAAAAATGAAGGTGTATTGTTTATTAAAGCTTCTACTAATCAGTTTGTCATTAGCACATGTGCTATTTACAATACATCTTTGATTCAAGAAACTATAAGTACAAAAAAACCAAAATCAGAAAGGGGAAATGAAGTAGATTAGATATTTTATTAATTTTTTTATGGGTGTACAGCCGTACAATCTTGTCTTATTAGTGTGACTATTTATCATGAGTATAATAACATAAGCATAATGACATACATACTGTAGATATTTCACACTCGAATAATAATCTGTTAAAATCCACGTTACTGTTGATTAATGAGGTGAAACTTTGATTTCTAACTTTATAGGGCATGCAACGTTCTGAATAACAAATAAATCAGGTTATTCATTGTCTCAGTTTAGAAGATATTTGAAAAGATCTATTCAAACTACAAGGTTTTTGTGGAAATAAAGTTGTATTAATGACAATTTGGATATACCTGAGTCAGATATTGACAATATTAATTGATTCACTAAAACAAATAAAATATTTCCTGTATTTTAATTGCAATGGTTTCAGTAATTTGTTAATATCTTTTAGTATTTTTTTTCGAAAAGTGTTTCTATTCATCCTAATGTAGATGGAACAGCTTATATTAAACATTACTAAAAGATGAATCTCGGATACGAATGTTTCGCTAGTAGTACAACTTCCGTCTGATAATTAAATAAATACAATGAATATACGTATAATTATTCCTTAATTCCTTTTAAAATTGAATGCTTAGGCAACTCACAGTTAGTTAGACTGTACTAGATGTTACCTAATTTACCGTTGATTGATCACTAAGTGATGATCAATATCATGTTTATCTATCCCTTTCGTACTTAATGAATTACGGTTAATTTTCAAACATGATACGCGATTTAATTAAATAAACTAAATCCCCCCCTTTATCAATATATTATACGTTATGCGATTTTCAGCATGTATTAGGAGAAAAAGTGTTATTCGAGTCTACAAAGGAAATTACACATGATGTAATAATACAATACCTTTTAACCGATGGTCATAAGATAAGAATAGAACGTCAATTTTCTTACAAACAGCTATTTTTCCGACAACTTCTATGTGTTAAATGAAACTGTATTTAACTGTCCAATTAGTAGAGTATAGTGTCGCTGTATATACATTTTGTGAACAACACTTGTTCAAGGAATGTTTTTATTTATTAGCTATTTGTTTTTGTGTATAAACATTATGTACGAATTTATATACACACTATTTCGCTTTATGTCTACTATGTATGAAAGTGTAGTTATCAGGTATGTTTGTGTTTTTTGCCTACAGATTTTTCAAGTTAGACAATTAGTCTAAATAAATTGAATGTCTGTGAGAAAAGTCTGTATTGTTCTCGTTACTATTACCTAGATGAAACTAGTTTACATTGATCTAAATTCTAGTGTTAGAAGTGTAATTACTCGGCATCATGTTTACTTTGATATATATATGTACGTTTATAATAGCAAAATGTAGAAATATATAAATCATATGAATTAATTTAGAGTTTATTACAGTCTTATAAGTAAAATTCAATTACAATAGAGTAGTACTATGTTGAAATTAAAGTTAAAAATGGTAATCACAGGCCGAATAAGTGGGTCATTTAATATTATGTAATCTCAATTTTTGAAACAAATTGGGTGACACACCTATGGGATTTGAATAATAAATACATATTACCACTGATATATTAGAACTCTTCATTTTATTATCATACTAAATTTATATTAACGCAAACTTTATGTTTTAATGTTATTCTGTCACTATAATATTTTATTGTGTCTTTGGTCGACTGGGCATACTGAGTTCCATTGTGATCATTTCTCCCGTGGTTATTACAAAAAACAACCAAATAATATAAACTAATGAAGACAAATATCACTTTTGCTGCTTTGAGCTGTTATGTTATCGTTAAATTTTAACAGTAGCATATTGTTGTTGTCATAAATGTTTAGTCCTACAATATATACTTAGAAAGGAAAGAAGGTTTTTGGTCAATCATTTCTTCTATTCGGACCATCTACTGTACATAGACCATTTGTAATAGGAATTTCTTCATAAATAAATTGTTTAAAATAGTTGGTTTTACTATAGCTGAGAATCGGTGAGTTGTAGACCGATATTTCGTTCACAGGTGAAAATCCTAAAATTCTAATGTTCGTAATCTATGCATAAATATTAAATTATTGGTAGAAATTTTAGTTTGGGCGTAAAGTTAATGGTGTAAATTAGACGACTCATCTTTATATGATTTTCGAAAGACTACACAAATATTACAAGAACCCTAAGTCACATGGTTTGATTGAGTAATATTTTAAGTTGACTAATGTTTTTATAAACGAAGTTACCATAAACCGAGTACTCAATACTAAGGTAAATTTGACTAGTGCGCCAAACAATATATCTGTGAAGCTAAGTTGAATTCCGAAATCTTACATCACTTTTTCGTCGATAAAAGTTTAAGTATCTGAGAACCATAATTGACATGCAATTATGAGAAGTTACTACTGAGTGCACTTACTTACTTACGCCTGTTACTCCTAATGAGTGTAGTTTCGCTGAAATGTTCCGGCCACTTGATTTCAGTTTATAATATCATTCATACTTAAACCTTTATTTTTTGGGATAGTCTGTTCATTCCAAATAAAGTTTTACTTTTGTTATTATTGTTTTGACGAAATTAATCATAGTTTCGGAATCCGATGAGTCGAGAATTTCACATTTTTATTGTTAGACCCCATAATAGGTCACTGTTGATATATTTGGATGTTGTCTTAAAAAAGTGTTCTTTGTCACTAAAAAAAGCATTTTCTACCTCTACGTACTAAAATCTTCATGTTTATTACATTTTCAATATGCAAATGACTTGCATATGGTGGATTTTTTGCACTTCTTTCAAATGTTCATCCTTTACTACAGCACTTGAAAATATCACATTGGAATATCAGATTAATTTTCCTGGTATTCAGAATTTAACTATAAACTATGGACGATAAATTTAGTTTTCTATCCGATAAGACTTACTAACAAACCTATCAGACGAAAGAATATGGATGTTTCAATTTCCCTGTATTCGCTAATTTTCCTTTAATATCTAACTGTTATATAGTGTGGCAGTATAGTTACACATTACTTACGCCTATTACTCTCAATGGAGCATAGGCCGCCGACCAGCATTCTCCAACCCATTCTGTCCTGGGCCTTCCTTTCTAATTCCATCCAATTCTTGTTCATTTTTCTCATGTCTATCTCCATTTCTCGACGTAATGTGTTCTTTGGTCTTCCTCTTTTCCTTTGGCCTTGAGGATTCCATGTGAGGGCTTGTCTTGTGACTCAATTGGGTCCTTTCCTCAATGTGTGTTCTATCCACTTCCAGCGCTTCTTCCTGATTTTACATTAGATGATGAAGACTTCTCATTTACTACAAAGATATGTTTCTTTCACAAATAATTCTAATTTTAACATCTAGCAATCACCTGGACTGTATTATTGGTTAAAATGTCATTAGTCTGAAAATAAATTATCATATATTCCTAAGTATATGAATGGTTTTTCGAGCTAATTTATACAACTAATGGAGAAGTGATGCGAGTATAATAACAAATAAATGATGATTGACTATCATCTTCAATCTGATTTCTTTTTTCTTTAATATTCAATTTTTACAGAGTGGACTTGATTCGATTGAATCAGATTTTTTATTTTGTCAAAACAGTTGTTCATCTGTAAATCATATTCAGTCATGTCAACGTATTTCCTCTGAAGTACAGAATGTTGAAGAGAAAACGTTTAAATACTTAAGTGAATGGGATGATAGTGGAGATGAAGATATTATAAAAGGAGCAGAACCAAAAACTAAATTTGAGGCTGCGTTAAGAAGAGCTGAAGAGAAAAATAAAAAACGAATGGTATGTCTTTAGTTATATAAAGAGTTAACGATACAAATTTGTAATTTGCTGTGAGTAACTCAGTTGGTTTTTAGTCAAATATTCAGCGAAGAAGAATCCATTATGAATTCTATGTTTTCTACTGTTGGTTATACACTAATTCATATTTTCATTTATTAAGTCACGGACTGGCTTAGGTTGAACCACCATTGAAAACTAAGCAGAACTTTTCTGTCGTTTCGCCCTGGTGTTTAGCTCCTTATCAGTATGCGCGCACAAGTCTGGATCAAAGAGTTGGATTTAGAATTTATGATTTTGCGATTTGGCTTCTAGACCCTTGAGCTGGCATCTAATGGTGTACTTGGACATTAATTACTTCTGGAAAGCAACCACGCTGCTTATTTTATATTCACAGTTAGATTAATAGTTCGTTGTACTCTTGTAATATTTTAATCACTACGTAGTCATATCTAAAATATATGTAAATAAACTATATCAACTGAACTCTATTTTCAGAAAGGGTTTTGTGGAGATTTTAATAATTTCAATAGTTGAACTCATGAGTCAATTGAAGATAGACCATCATGGAAAACCTGGAAGCACTGGACGGCTGTTTCGTCTTAGTATGGGACTCCCCAGCAGTGAGCATCGACGACCCCGCCCCCAGCGAGGGGGGGGCATTTCCTGGAGTTTTAGTGAGAAGCCGTGACCAGTGGAGTTCAACCAGGTCTGTTGTGAAATATCAGCTCAGTGGTCTAATGGTTAAGCTCTCACGCGCTAGACTGATAGGACCTGGATTTTAATCTCGCGGGGGGGGCGAGACCGTGGACGTACGCTGCTGAGAAGTCGCACAATAGGACGAAACGGCCGTCCAGTGCTTCCATGTTTTCCATGGTTATCTGGCTTCAATTGACTCATGATTTCAACTATTGAACTCCATTTACCAATAATGCAATGATGCTTCGCTACGATTTGGTAAAAGATAGTTTGCTGTGACAAAGAGTTTGACTACTGATAAGTAGTATATTCATTTCCAATTAGTATCTCTCGGGTTAAAATTAGTATTGTTCCCAGATTCATAGAATCTCCACTTACGAGGATTTGATGTATTTGAATTATCCGAATCAATTTTGAATGTTGAATTCTCAAAGTTGTCTGCAAGTAACAAATAATTTGTCACTAAACAGCTAAATGAATTATAATCCATACGTGACAGATTTTATTATGCGGGCGTCCAAAGAAGAGAGGTATTTTATTGGTCATATTTTATACATATGTTTTTTATTAGTTTAGTCCAAAACATTCTGTTTAAGTTATAATCAAGCTAAGGAATCAGTTTAATAAATTACTGTAGGCTGTCTTTCTACCAACCGACGGACGAATATATCGCCCATTAGTAATCATATTTGTATTGTCCCATCAATGTGAGACATAATCACTAAAAGTAGAAGATATTTATGGACTGACGTTTTTTGACTGAGGTGTTCAGAACAGGTGTCACGGATGACTAGACACTGACTACCTCAAGACATGGAGTTTTCTGGTGCAGAAGTGGTCTGGAAGAAAATTAGAGACTGCCAAACCAAGACATAGCATCACTCCAAGAAATCATTGACTATTGTTCTAAGTGATTGTCATTAGATGAAGCATAATTGGTCAGGAACCCCATGATAACTGTGATCAGTGGTTGATGACTTTAGCTGCAATGACTCAGAATCATTTAATTTTAAGTTCTTTAAATCAGGATTGAATGATTAATTATTCGCTAAAACTAAAATATCATGAAATGTATTCAATAGCATGTATCACTGGAATTAAATACTTGTGTTTCCTTCTGTTTAAGATTCAACAATAAGATTTATTCCAATGCTCCAAATTTAATCTGTTTTAAAATAATCCAGGCTTAATTACAAGCAGGCATCACAACTCAATCCTTTGATGAATAGAGATCTATTTCTCAAGCGATTGATGGTGAATTTGAATCTTAGAACAACTGTCACCACTTACTATGATGAATAGATATGTTTCAAATAAGAAGTTTTTAAATGATTCTATTAGCTTCCGGTTTATTTGGAATTATCAACCATTATATACCGACTAGAGCATTAAGTTCTGTAGTCGAAATTATCAAAATAATGTTTGGAGAATTTGATAAATCTACTTTAAAATAATAATTTTTTATTTACAGGAACTGATAACTTCTAAAGAATTTTCAACATCAGATAATAAAAAGATGCCTGAATGGGGTTCACCTATCCAAATAAGGAAGAATGCTGATCAAAGTAGATTTATGGAATGTTCTCTTTCATTAGATATTGTAAGTTTTGTGAAATACTTTTTGCATGACAAATATTTGAAGTCCCGTTATCATTTTGAAAAGAGCAGGAATAAAGATTCTAGCAGAATAGTATGAATTCATTTTATTTTATTGGTTCTCGTCAGATGTTTACAATCTGTGATATTTAAAAATCATAATTACATAATAGGTTTAAATCACTTACATGAAAGGGTTTGATTGGAAGTTATATTGAAGATACATTAGTTATAGTATTGCAAGGGTGTAAATAAGTTTAATAGAGTGAATGTTGTAAATATATAACTTATGTAGAAGTACATTCTACAACATTGATTATGACAACAGTTCAAATTGCCAGAAACAAGTGATTACATAATGAGTAAACGCTGATAGGAATAAAATGAGAAGAGCTCGGCTGATAAAATAAGAATACTAATTCCGAAGATAGTTGAAACAAAACTCAATGATGTTAATAAATGCAAGAAAGAGCTTTTTAAAAAAGTTTAAGATGCAACGAAGAAACATTTGTCACCAAGGCAAGGAAAGATTAATAACCATCTGCTTTTGACTCCTGATAGCAACGGATTCAGCAAACGTAAGATGACTGGAGTTTGTCTGCTTACTAATCACCTTGAAAGATTGAAAGGTGTAGAGCTGATACCCTGTATCAAGATGTTTGGTGATTGCACTGCTTAGAATCTTTATATTGTTATAAGGCTTTTTCGAACATGTTTAAAAAATTTAAGATACGCCCTGCTTTCTGTTCTGCAAATGTAGCTGCTTTGGCACGTACGCGTAAATTTATAAATACAGTTGGCAGTAACATGAAACGGGTACTTGTCAACCTTTGATTGAGTTATTGAAAGATTACAAGGTATCACAGGTTATAAGCAGTTGACGAGAACTAACGAAATAAAATGAATTCATACTATTCTGCTAGAATCTTTGTTCTTGCTCTTTTCAAGATAAACGAATAAATGAATTTTTAATGTTGTATGTTGCAACATATAAGCACAATAATCAGTCATGAAGTAATTATAATGATTGTTACTTTTTCTGGAATAAAAAAGAGTATGTCCAAGTTGTTAATCTAACCATAAAGTGGTATTTGGTTCTATCTATTCATATATCTGAGTAAGAATATAAAGTATTGAGTTGACTCGTATTGATGATGAATTATGTGAATGAAATATAGATCCTTATCTAACCTCGTAAATATTATGTAAAAGTTTGAATAAAGGTTGTGTTTTAGATATCTTTCTTTCAAATATACATATATAAACAGAAAAAGAATATAGGTGAATAGCATTGAGGATTGGCAATACACTAACTCGTCAACCAATCTAGTGACTCAGCTTATATAGTTTAAATAAAAAGAAATGTAAGCCAGTAAATAGACAACAAATAGAGTAAATAATAAACATATATACATAAAGAGATCTATGCTTAAGTCTGTCGAGGTATAATATATGCAAGTGGATAGTCATATCCCATGAAAGTAAATACATATAATCGATGAAGACAAACATAAAAGGCATAAATGTATAGAAGACCAGTCCTACTTAAAATGAATAGAATATCATTAGCAAGGTAAAAATGACGCATTAGTTCCACACTGTATGGTTTATTAGTGTTAGTCTAAAGTTCATATAAGACATTCTAAAGTCACTAAGACTATTAATATTATTATTATTATTAATAATAATAAGAGATATAATATAACAATAAGTATAATCGGATATTATTTTCCTGGTCTCGTCTAATAAGAAAACATATCGTAAATTATTGTAATTATGATGCAGAACTGAATGAAGAGCTGATTCAGCAGAATTCACTATTGTGTTTCAGACTGTAAAACTCTTTAAACATATTTTACTATCCATAATATTTTAGCTTGTTAAATTTTTTTAAACGGAACAGTTCATTGATATGAAAAAAATACTGAAAAATAATATCAGATGGGTTTTGTGGATATTATGGTAATTTCAATGGTTAACACCGTTGGATGCTGGCTCAGTGGTCTAATGGTTAAGTGCTCGCGCGCGAAACCAGTGGGTATTGAGTTCCGATCTTGCAGGGGGCGAGGTCGTGGATGCGCACTGCTGAGGAGTCCCACAATAGAACGAAACGGCCGTCCAGCGCTTCTAGGTTTTCCATGGTCGTCTAGCTTCAACTGACTCATGATCTTAACCATTGAGAAATAATACTTAAATAATTTTAATAGTTGAGATCATGAGTCAATTGAACCTAGACCACCATGGAAAACCTGGAAGCACTGAACGACTGTTTCCTCCTACTGTGGGACTCCTCAGTAGTGTGCATCCACGATCCCGCCTCGTGAGATTCGAACCCAGAACCTATCAGTTTCGCATGCGAGCGCTTAACCACTAAACAATTACTGATGAAAATCTACTCATAAAATTAATCTATGAATTAAAAATCGATCGATTTTGCAAGAAAATAATTACTAGATAATGAAAACAATTATTTATATACAAAATTATTTTACTAGAATGATATAAGATACATGTGACCTACCTGTTGTTAACAAATGAATAATCAATGATCAAATTGAAAATATTGAAATCATAATTAATGATTCTCTAAATTTTCTATTTCTTATCATTTGTGCATTTCTATGATTGTTTACATATTATCAGTCAGTCAGTAACAACGTAGAACTTCGTACGGACGTACAACAGTTCGAGTTGTCGATTCAAATCCCGTAGTGGTAGAGGTGTTAAGAGTATAAGCAGTAATCGGAAAGATTAGGGTTTGAAGATGTTATTACAGGAGTATAATGCAGTGAAAGAAATTCAGAAAGAGAAAAAAGGGACATGAAGAATTCAGAGGATTAGAATTTGAGAGAACACAGGGAGTGGATACATCTGCTTCATTGTAAACTATTTTCAGCCATGTCACTCAGGGTCTCTTACCATCGGTTGCTATCATCTCGCAGATCCCAACCAGGTAATCTACACCTAACAATATGGCTCAAACCACTTGTCATTGACTTCATGGATTTGTGCCATGTTTTGGTCTGGCCACTCTTAGCTTTCTCCCAACCTACTCCTACACCATGAAACGTCGCACGTCGGGGCAGTCGGTGGTTGGGCATACGTAACACATGTTCCAGCCATCTCAACTGATGAAGTTTCACTACGTCATCTATTGATTTGCCATCCTTACCTAGTATCCGTTTCCTAACAACTGCGTTACTTACTCGATGGTCCCAGGATATACGAGCAATATTTCGAAGACACCTATGGTCAAATACTAGTAACCTACGGATATCCTCTACTCTTACCGGCCGTGTTTCACTGCCTACATATTATAAACAATTATTTATGGAATTGTAATGAACGAGAACTCAGGCGAGGATAATCGAATGTATTTGAATACAAAATTACAGGTCTTAATAAAATCTGATTACCATACAGTAAATACTTGTTTTGCAAAATGTTAATTAGTCGTCTCAGACTTGATTATTCCTTTTTTCCCACACAAATCATTCACGATTCTCGTTCTCTTCTCTTCGATCTTCTTAACCTTGTGCCGCCAGGCATTGATGATAAATACTACTTATATTTGTCGAAATCAGTAGCACATATCACAGAATATCTAAATTAGCTTGTTAATTCAGAGTTGAAATATAATCTTTGCGTTTTGTAAATTGGACTATTTATTGATAGAATATATTTAACCGATATCGTAAGCGGTTAGTTTTTAACTGGAAACAAATTATCAGTATAGGGTTCTCGAATTTGTTGAGTTTGGATTAATATCATGAATGGAACAAGGTTAGACCACGACCCTATACTGAAAATTATCATGTGCTCACTAGTGACTGGGTTTAAGAAGGATTTCCTGGAGTAATAAAGAGAAGCCATAACCAGTGGAGTTCAACCGTGTCTGTTGTGAGGCAGTTACTCACTGAAAACAATGGTGGATGGTTGAAGTTAGACATTAACACCGTTGGATACTGGCTCAGTGGTCTAGAACTTAGGCCTTCGCTCGTGAGACGGAAAGTCCTGGTTCCGAGTCATGAGTGCGGGATCGTGTATGTACATTTCCATGGATGAGTCCCATACCAGAACGAAACGGTCGTCCAGGGCTCCCAGGTTTTCAGTAGTGGAAACAGTTTATCAATAAAAAAGAACACCAACGAAGACAATTTTACTTCATTAAACAAATATCATTCACAATATCTTTAATCCTAACAACAATAACATTTGTAATGGGTCGTATTTTCCTGTTCTTCACGTTAAGGATCGATCATTGTCCTTTTGTGCACCGTCAGAGGAAAATCTCGATATTTCTAGTTACAAGATTAAATAATGTTGAATAATGGCTTGCAGGAAAATCCAGGAGGCGCGCTCTTTGCTTTTCTTTTTGAGAACATTAACATTGACATGCAGGTTTATTCAGCTGACCATTCGGTTACGTTATGGATGTCCTGAGCAATTTCGGTCAATAAGATGAACTACTGAATATAAAACTAGTAGTAAGAATTAAATTCATATTATTTGGGACCATTCAAAAATTGAATCTAAATATCTGGCTGTGAAAGCATAGGAATTGTTTCTTATTGATTTTAATTCTAAATATTCCCACACTTTTGGCTTAGTTCCCATTTAAAGTCAACTAATAATTCGATTGTGTTCAGCAGAACACTATATGATTGGTGATAGTAATAATTAATCATTTAAACTAATTAACACATGAAACATTAACCCCGGTATTTTTTGTGATTTGTGGCGTGTATACACTTGGCTCGAGCAAATGGTGCAAATTTTCTCTCAGGACTAGTTAATGGACTTTTCTTAACAACTTTTGTTATATAAGTTAATACAAACATTTAATAACTTGATGTTTGACTAGCACTAGTTTAGTTGTGTTATTTGAAATAATCGATATTATCAGTTAGAAGCGCTTTCGAAATACATATTTTATGGTGTATATAATAGTCTTGCTGGGATTTCATAGAGAGTGTTGACCAAATCATTAAATCGAATGATAGGAAAACTATGCATGAATATCATCAGTTAAAACAATACTAAACATAGTTGTGTAGAATATTTTCTTATTTTATCATGTTGTCTTTTGTATCTGTCTCTTCATGATTTAAATAATAAAACATAATTGCCGAAATAAAATGAATCACTATGTCACCATGTTTGTTAGATAATTTGCTGAGTCTTGACTCGAAAATTTAAAGTAAAATTCGATTGACGAACCCATAAACTGTAAAATCAGGAAGTTAGGAAATGTTCAACAAATACATATGAGGTCAAATACTGCTAGTTGGCATTAGGGTTGGCTGAATGGACGCTAGGAGTGAGGAAATGAAGATGTCGACTGGATAAATGATCCAAAATGGTGTATGCAGACTTCTAAGCTAAGGCGTACATGAATAGTGTTGGTTAAAGGTGTTGGATAACATACCCCAAATTATATCGCAGTGGTACAGTCATATTCATTCCTTATCTATATTTAGTGTTTTTCACGCTTCGATCCCATTCGTTTCTCTGAAACTATATCTACAGGGTTTAACTATCCACTTTGATGAATATTATTTATTATTCTTATCATCTAACTTTGTCAATATTTATACTTAATAGACTGATCTAATGGATAGCAAGCAGGATTAATAAACACTTATATCAAGTTCAACATAGTCAGCAACTGACTGACATGTATCATTAAAATTTTAGCCTTTCCAGTCGTGTAAGTAGAGTGAATTCTGTTGTTTATGTCACAGCAAACATGAGTTTCACCAGTACTATGAATTTATAATTAGTGACGATGAGATGCTAAACTGATGCTAAACTGACCAGACTGTTTTTGAGGTTCAATGTTTTCATAATTGAGGAGCAAAATCCCTATGTAGAAAATGAAATGATTCGTTTAATTGCTGGTCACTTCTTCAGTTCATTCGCTTGTTTTTGTTCTGTCCGTATACTATCACAATGTGGTTTTTGTTACAAGCCTACATTCAAAGTATCGTTTCCTGTAGATAATTTTACAGAGATTATTTACTTCAATCTCCGTCTTATTGTTATTGTATGGTACTCATTTTCGATAACTGATTTCATAAACTAGACATTTTTTTCTCTAAATCTTCTAGTAAACCCGTATGTTGTTTATTATATGACCTGAGCTCCATTATGGCTGCATAATTTTTCTCGTGGTCTAATTGTTTACAGTCACATTTATGTAACAGATCGGTAATATCTTCGTTTTTGCTCAATTTCAGCCGGTGAGCAACAGCAGTTCTCCGAAAATAAGTAGACCTTCTGATCTTTGTCGCGAAGTTGAAGAATGGTTGGAATCAAGACCATCATGGATTGACCAAAAACATCAGGTGAGCTTCTAGTCTTATGCTTACATATGGGCTTAAATGATTGTGCTTAAGATTCAAATGATACCTAACAATTTGTCCAAAAAATAAAGTTTTAAAAGAGCGACATTATTTATTTTTTAGTCCCACGCTTAGAATACAAGCTGGTAAAGAACCAATCAAGTATCCACTTCAAGTTTTAGTAGTGCTCTTTTCTTTTTGTAATTTACTTTGACGAAACTGAAGTTTCAATATTTTTTGGCACTCATCTTTAGCTAGTACAAAGTTAATATAGTCCATCCCCTATATTTATTTTTTGATTAGGATGTTTTCATATATTTGGTTTATTTTCTGATACAAGTTTATGTTAATGATAGTGTTCATCGATTAAATTTGAAATATTCTTTAAAAATACATGTTAGCAAAGTTTTAAGCCGCGTTGGTGGTTACTGCTCTTGATCACTAAGTCGTAATCATATTAACAGTGATTTATGTTTCACACGTCAGTTTTAATTTGTTTTTATATTTCACTGGTGTTCTGAGTATTTATTGTTGTCTTATTAAAATTTTCCTTATTAAACACATCTTATTTCGATTATTGTCCCTCGTAATTAGCACCTTTCGTGTTTTATTCTATAGCCTTTTTCCTGTACTGATGTTGGTTTTTGTGACTCAGACTACTAAATCATGACTTTTAGAATTTTCGTATTTATGATACAAGAATACTAAATTAATCTTATTGTCCAAAACCCTAATTGATAGGCTGATAAGTCAGTTTTCGTTAAAGTACACTGTGTGAAGGATACATTAAGAAAAACCTATTCACTGAGCAAATAACAAGTCCAAAATCTTCCTTCAATTACATATATGATACATAAAATAGTTTTGTTGTTTTTAATCTACATAAGACTATAGTGAGACTAATTTATGGATGACCTCTGATGGACACTAGTGACCTTGAGAAAATTCGCCACCTTACTAAGGTCAAAAGAGAGTTATTGAGTTAGAAGTTAGGGTTACGAATAAGAGTTGGAGTAAGGGTCAGGATTTTTATCACGAACTGACATCAGCTACAACACCAAAATTCCATTTAACCTTATAGATGAATGAATTTATCTCCATAATCCTATACTTACTATCTTCAATTTTATTTATTCGTTCATGAATTATAGTCTCGCCGTTATACATATTTATTTATTTTATTTTTCCTACAAAATCAACTCCGGGATGCAGGTATTATCCATCTAGGGATGAAATGGGCGTCCTGAATTCCACTGCCAACTACATTCCATCTATTCTTATTTTGCTGACTACAATACTGAGAAAGACTAGTCAAGTTTGCCAACAATTAAGTGTTTCTTGTTGGCAGGATGAGATAACTCTTAGTAAACTTCACAAATCACTCAATCTTTGAAATATCCACCTACACAAGATTTGCTATTATCAGTCTATGGTAAGACCTGTCCTCCGATTTAAAAAAAACAAAACAAAATCTACACAAATCTTCAAGCTAAGCTAAAAACGTGTTTACATTATTAATATAATTATAGGTCAGACTGAAACAGTCTCATTCGTAATCACTTATATTATTGTGTGAGATGTTGTCTAGTGATGAAATCATAAATATGCGAGATAATTAGCTACGAATCAAGTGCCCTGCAGAAATTAGAATATTAATGAATTTATCTTAGTTAGTGTCATGATGACAAACGTTTGCTAATGATCAATAACTTAGTTATAGAACGACATAATCTTTTCCAATTAAGTCTTATTATTAGTATGGTATGTGAAAAATTAAATCAAAGACTAATCTAAGTTAAGCAGTCATTGGAAAACTGGAAGAACTTTATAGCCGTTTCGTTCTAGTGTAGGACTCTTCACTAGTGAGAATTCATGACTCTGAAAAACGAGGATCTAACCCTCTACAGATCTCACATGCGCGAACATCTAACCTCTGGACCATTGAACCGGGGTGCAACCATTCTTTCATATTTCGTGACTATTTTCCACTGTGTTCAGTAGCTGCCTTCCATATATTTGACACACTTTATCTTCATTGGTTGCAACTTATCACTAAATATCTGGGTGTTTCCTCTCGAAGCTAGTTATTAGTGAGCATTTGATGATTATCAGTTTGTAGTGTCCGTTACTATGTCAAGCCCACATAACTTATTCTACCTTCAGGACAGGTAAATTTATCCATTCTTCTTGAGTCACATTTTGACCATGTTAATTATTCACTTATCAACCCTGACTTTTTATATGAGCGTATGTGTGTGTACACTTCTGATCCTATTCATCATATGTCTGTAACTTATTTTATCTGGCTACAAATATTAACGCTTGATTAAATGGAGTTGGCTCACGCGCCTTTTCCATTGCTCGTCCTTTCGTTTCGCTTCGCCTTCTCTTTGCTTCATTCGCTGCGATTCTCTGATTATCTGTTCGGGTCAACGACTATACAAAATATATGTATTCAAACATTCATTCTCGTATTTGACTTATTTAAATTCTATTATTCACCAATCGATTCATGATTTCGAATAAATTTAATGATTATTTATAAGTATAACCGTTCATCAAATTACCAGAATAAACAGTGAATTTAAAAGAGTAATAGTTAACCACACGAAAAAAATCAATTTTTTTTTCTGTATGAATAATTAACCACTCAACACAATAAATCGATGCATTTTCTTTAGTTGTTGATGTTGTTTTCTCTTCTTTCCTTTTTTTCTTCTTTCATGTATTATTCTATGATCATTTAATAATGAATTAAAATTATGTTTGTATATCAATATTTGATAATAATGGTGGTATATAACACATTTTTAATAGTATACTTAATTCAGAATGATTGATAGATCTTTTTATTAATTATATCGGATTACTTTATTTGTTTTAATAATATAAATATTTAGGCTTGTGAATTATTCATTCATTCATGCGTTATATTATCAAAGCAAATGAATGTATTTCACTGAAAGTAACTAGTAATTTCATTAAAGTAAATATTGGCCCATCTGAAAGAAAAAAGAAATGGAATTATTTGACACCTGACAATTATTGGTAATAGGATCATTAGATTAGAAAAAGTGGCGAGACACTAATTTATATACGACCTTTGAACGAATCTTAAGTGACCTTGATGAATATTAACCAATCAGCAAAACCAAGGAAATAAAGTGGATACACTTCTTATACATGGTTCAAAAACTTGTCAAGGTTAGAAAGAGGTTCTGAGGTTCTAAAATCGTAATGCATGCAGTAGAAGAAATCATCCATACGGTTACAGAATAGTCAGCCTCTGGAGCCATGATAAAGTCTCAAAAACTTTCAGCCTCGACCACATAGCTTCAATATTGTGTATGTGCACACCGGTTGACAAAAACATTTTTATTCATTTTAATCATCTGATTATATTCACTAAATCTATTGTTATTATTCGTATTACGTAATCTAGTATTATAACCTTTTTTATTAACTGTGTTCACATTTCCTCACGGAATTAGTACTTTTACAAAAACAAAATTTTCATATATATGCGATTGTACAGCTTGATAATAAGTTCGCTGAAAAGAGATCCCTTCATTGAACTTCGTGTTTTAATTTTAATGTTTAAATGGGAATTATCTGTCAATAGTCAGGTTAGTCATTTATTTATTTATGTACACTTTTAGACTAATATGAAATCAGCAACCATATCAGAATTGGGAATAAATTGAGTAGTGTTCCAGTTGACTTGTCTTCTCTTACTTGCGCGCTTGTCAGCCAATCAGGTGATAGAATAGTTTTCGTTTCTCTACTCCACTTCGAACTCACGCATACTAGCCTCAAGATTAAGCTGGTCAGCCTATCGCGTCAAGGTCTTAATCTAGATTAGCCAAGTATCCTCTGTACAAAAGTGGGTAGACAGATCAAGGACGTAACAAATATATTCCATAAAATTCGAGGCCCGATTGGCATCATATAAGTTGAGAGTGATGAAATGGTAAATTACCATTAAAACATAGTAAGGTTTATGCTTTATTATAAACTCATAAAAGTTTTATATGTAAATTGTTAAATTGTCACATTGGGTAAATGATATTATGATTACCTGGAGATTTTATTACAATGGTATCAATCTTTTATGGCACTTTATGTAGATATTTTTAAGCAATTGTAGACAGGGAGATCGTTGAATTGTGAACTTTTCTTTTTCATTCTATCACGTCATCAACGTTTATTTTATTTAAATTTTTTTGTGAGTGAAATTTTTGGCTATTCCACAAGCGTTAAGTCAGTTCGTTCTATTGGTCTTGTCTTTGATTGGTTGTTTTCTCAGGCTTCATTGTTCTTATTTATCCTTGTATTCAAGCTTACCATCTTGTTCGTTTGACCACTGATCATGTGGTTGATTAACTTTCTCCGTATTCGTTAATAGATTCGGTTAATTGTTCTATATGGAATATTTATAGAAATTCTTCAGCATTTTTAAAATGCTCTTAACTAAGAATTTTGACATTTTCATTGTTCAAACGCATGAAAAATTTCAATTAAAGATTTAACAACTCTTCAATACTGACACTCTTCTGATTCTAAAACTAGCATACTAAGAATTCATTTTAAAGTGTTTCTCTTCATTTTAAATAGTCAATGCTTAGAATGTCAGGTGAATACGAACTATTTTGTAGACATCAGTAGACAGCTTATGTTATCTCATATCTGTCTCCATTTCTCGACGTAATGTGTTCTTCGGTCTTCCTCTTCCCGTTTGGTCTTGAAGATTTCATGTGAAGGCTTGCCTTATGGCGCAGTTGCGTGCTTTCCTCAATATGTTTCCTATACGCTTTCAGAGCTTCTTCTTGATTTCTTCGTCCTCTGGGATCTGGTTTGTTCTCTTCCACAACAGGTTGTTGCTGATGATGTCTGGCCAACAGATCCGAAGTATTTCGCGTAGGCAACTCCTAATAAACACTTATGTCCTCTGAATGACTGCTTTCGTAGTTCTCTAGGTTTCCGCCCCATACAGTAGAAATGTTTTAACATTTGTATTGATAATTCTGGCTTTAATGTTAGTTGACAGTTATTTTTAGTTCCAGATGTTTTTCAACGCCAACTGGAAAAAAGATCACTGGAAATTCTTGAAGAAAAGTATTTCATTGTCATATTGTTCTTTTTATTCTAACAATGAAAGTCGTTTCGTTAATAAGCACTAAATATTCATAAATATATGAAATATATCTGCATTTTGATGTGTTGTTTACTTACATTCATAAAGATGTCAACACTGATAACAATCCATTTTATGTATAATATTATTGTAATCTAAGACTATTTAAAGTCTTATTTACAAATTATAATTAATTATTTTATATTGTAAATTAATCTATTACTAATTTTAAAATAACCTTGAAATGCATAATTATCCAATCATATGCAAGTTGTGTTTCTATTGGTTGATTGATTGATTATTTCATTATGTTTGTACACAATTCCATTTATTTATTTATTTATTAAAATTACAGATCTAGTTAGATCTGATTTTATTATTTTAACTTGTAAACTGTCAGTCAGGATGTAAATCTAATTACTGAATGCTGTAAAAAAGTGATTATAATTCTCTAAATAATAAAATGACACTAATTTAAATCAAATGGATTGGTATTTCATTTACAAATTAATGTAAGTTATAAACATTAGATTTTTCTCCTTTTTTTTCTTTTTTTCATTATTCAAATCACTAAAATATGAGTAATTTATAAACATACAATTCATCCATTGTTTTGTTGTTGTTGTTGTTTTCTCTTTTTTATCCTTAGAAAAATAATCCAGCGTTACAAATTTGCTTTTTAAATATATCTGAACAAAATTTGTTCTCTTCCATGGAAGCAATAGTTGCTGAACCTTATTTGGACAATAATGATTATAGAACTGGACAAAATAATATAGAAACTAATTTATTTTCAACTGTTAACTGTATTAAAACAAATGATAGTATTCAAACAATTAACTCATTGAATGACAATGAAATTAGTTTGAATAGTATTGAAGATTATGATGATAATAATTCACAGAGACTAACATTGAATGGTAATTCATCTTTTGTAAATCATAAAAATGAAAAGAATCGTACAAGTTCATCAATATCTGGAAGATCATCTTTATTATTAGCTTTTGAATCTTCGGTTAATTTAATTGATTTATTGAATGAGGTCTGTCAAATCATGTGTATTTAACTTATTTTTCTTATGACATTTTTATAATATGAATAATGATAATTTTAGGATTGTTTTAATATGATCTATCACATCATATTTGATATTTAACTGGATATATCTCAACACTACTAAGAAGTTCCGCAATAGGATTAAACAATTGTCCAATATGTTCCCTGGATTTTCAATGGCTCACGAGTTGAAGTCAATTCATAATGAAAACTTCTCTATATAGGACAGTTTCAACCATATATTTTAGTACCTAATCACTTTGAGAAAAATAATACACAAATTCAAAACTAACCAATATTTGTTGAAAGTCATCAAATCACTTTAATCTTAGCTATTATGTTATTTGCTGGTAAATCACATCAAGGTTAGATTAACAAATTAGATATTGGTACAAGGAGGCATCAAATGCATACGCGCCACAAAAATCTCATTTGATATGTGTGAGGGCTGTGATACTGCTCGGGTGCCCAAACCGAAGCAGGTGGTTCTCTTAGGGGGCCACTCCCCGAGCCTTTGACCTGAAGGTCTAATCCACAAGGCAGTGGAGCATCGTAAGGAGATGCAGTCCCATGGAAGCCGGTGACCAACGATTGGTTCATACGCCATTTGTTCCCACAGGATACTGGAGCCCATGTTCACCATTGTTTTGGAATCTGGTTAAAGCGCCGGACATTCGCTTTTCGTCCTCTCATTTTCGTAAACAACACCCCCGCCACGATAAAGCAGTGAGTAGGACTTCCCTGGCAGAGGCTGTATACGCGTGGCCATGTGAGAGCATTTGGAGAGGGAGAGCGGACTCTCGACATTCTTGGCCGTACCAGGGCATTTGGGGGCCAACACATTAGTTGGTTATAACTAATGATATTTTGTAAACAATAAATTATTTCTAAAATCATTATTCAGTAGGATTTTAGTTTTTTTTTCGTTTCGTAAATAGTCAAGTTAAAATTTAAGGTTAGTTTTCTACGCCCTTAACAATTAATCTACCAAATGCGTTGCTGTATTTTGTTTTAGACAATCAATAAGCCTTGAATATTTCTGTCTTTTTGCAATATCTAGTTGGAAAAATATAAGCCTAGATGAATTCTATATATATATGAGTATTGTTGTTATTTTAATTGATAACCCATATGATAGTGTTAACTAAATACCAGATCACGACATAAAACGATTTATAAACCTTAATAGATCTATAACTAGGACCAAACTGAAAAACTCATTTACGTCTAACTAAATCGTTAAACAGTTTATAGTTAAAATTATACAAAAATATGATAGAATAACTTACCCAAATTATACTGATTCATTTATTAGAGAATAATCATACATTTCTTATTACATTCTTGTTTCTATCAGTAACTTAATAATAATTGTCTTAGCTTAATATGATATGCAAAAGTATGGCTGAAGGTCATTTGTGACATTTCACCAAGTGTCATATCCAAAGTTTCCGACCATTTTTTTTCCGTTTATTTACTGGTTGATTGCTCGATATTTGCATTCATTCTCACTATTATAATAACTTCAATTATGTCAATAGTTTTATACAATTGGAAATAACAAATAACTTTAAAGATATCATTCAGATAACAGTCAACTGCTCACTAGTGACTGACTTCAGGAGGTACTTCTGGAGTTCTAGTGACAAGCCTTTACCAGTGGAGTTCAACCAGGTCTGTTGTGAGATATCAGCTCATTGAAGACAATGGCGTACGGTGGCGCAACTTCGTGGATTGGTTGAAGTTAGACATTAACACCGTTGGGTGCCGGCTCAGTGGTCTAGTGGTTAAGTGCTCGCTCGCGAAACCAATAGGTCCTGGGTTCGGATCCCGCGGGGGGCGAGATCATAGATGCACACTGCTGAGGAGTTCCACACTAGGACGAAACGGCCGTCCGGTGCTCTCAGGTTTTCAATGGTGGTCTAGCTTCAATCGACTCATGATTTCAACCTGTGAAATTTTTAAAAGATTTTGTTTAAATGTAATTTTAATTCATCAAATTACAATTTACGATAGAAAATAAAACATTCAAAAAGTAATTAAGTGTTTAATCACTATATCCATAGTAAAACCACAGTTAGTATTTCTAGATTGATTTTATGATGTGTATACCTTTTCTAAACACAAAGTTGTCTTTTCATTAAAATAAGCGTAATAATACACTGGGAGGCCTAACAATAGTATTAATAAAGTATAATAAAACGTTTTAAAAACATTCATTGATTCAGTATTAGAATTGATGGAATGTGAATAAATTAGAAATTTAAGCAGAGTGATTTGATATGTGAATCGGTTGTATTTCAATTACATATTATCATTATGAGATTTTAAATGGAAATCAATGAGGTAGGTGTTTTTTTCACAAAAGCTTATAATCGTACTTTTGAACATTCAACAAACAAAATAATAAAGGAAATAAATGGGGTATTGACCGTCAAGGGAAATCGCCAGTCAATAATGACCACAGAAATATACCCAGTTTTCAACAATTATCTATAACTCATACTATATTTTCTATTTGATTGAATCAAAATATTTAATGAAATGTGGTTAAACCAAGGATAATTACCGGGTTCTATTCTACGTGAGGCCGTGCACCCTTATGAGAAGTTTCATACTAGGACACAACAACTATCCATTTCTCTTTCATTTTCACTGGTCACTGCACTGTAATAAATGACACCTACATATTAAACAAATTGTCAGTAAACTCAATGAATATTCACTAGCTTCACTTCTATATTCTTCTAATAATTACTTTACTGTTATGCAACGAATAAAGTTTCACTTTAGATTTTGTTATTCAGTTAACTTGTTGGATATATTTGTCACCGTATTCACATTCATAGATTTCTCAATGAAATCCTAACACCGTCATTAGTTCAGTGAATAATGGTTTACAAGTTAGAAATCTGCTACATTCAGAAGATATTAACTGATTATTATTGTATATACGATTAATTTTAGATCAATATGTATTATGAACGATTATTAGATCAATGTAGACAAGATTGTTTTGATGCACGATCTGTTGTTTATTTACAAGAATTAATAAAGAATCATAAACGATTTCAAACAGAAACACAAATTGCTATTATTCAGGTAAGATGATTAATTTACTTTGTATTCGTTTTTCTTAGTTGAACCTTATATAAATTATATAGATAATTATTTGTTACTGAATTATTTAATAAGCGGCTATAAATAGTACCTTCCAACATGGTGATTATATTAAACGTATTATCTTAGGAAACTTTCCAAGATTAACCGAATTGTTTCTTTGAATATGCTCACTTTCTTTAATAACGAAACATTTGAGAAATAATGATTGAATAATGTACATATTTATTAGTTAAATTAAAATGCATCCAAATATCATATTATTCCTATCATACCATTGATTAGTATCACAATCTGTTATGCCATAGTCATATCTTATAGTTTATTATTATAGGATAGTTATCTTAAATTTTATTGTCAAGTGAATCATCACATAAACTGACATTAAACTGAATGATAAGACTAGTTTCTCTGAAGCAATTACTTTCTATTAGATAAGTATTTCTTAGCTGGTTTATGAAATCATTAAAATCCGATTGAATTCAAATCCGGAATATTAGACTTCACGTGTGACCTTGAGTTCATTTGTTTTCTAATTTGACCACTGTGAATATATCAATATAGTATCTTCAGTGCATACGGGCTGTAAATGATATATTCAAAAGTAATTTTAATTGAATATATATATATATATATCATCATTCTTTTAAAGAAAATTTTAATGATCATTTACGTTTACCGAGAATTGTTCACAAAACTGCATTACTTAATGCAAGGTAGGATAATGTGAAATTCCACTGAAGGCGTATTATTTAAATTATGTTAATTAATGCGAAACGAAGTTTTTGTTATGCTGAAACATAGTTAAAATTTTCTTGGCTTCCAAATATCTGGAGTTTAAAATTCAGTTCGATGAGTTCTCAACTTTATCAATAACATTTTTTAGCTTATCAATATAGAGTTGTGGAGATTGTTGAGTTTCAATCGATATCGTAAATGGATGAATGTTAGACCACCATTGAAAACTTAGAATTACTTGACACCCGTTTCGTCCTAATATGAGACTCAGCAGTTCGCATGTATGATCCCACACGCGATACATGAACTCAGGGCTCTCGGTCTCGCGGGCGAACGCTTATCCCTTAGACCACTGAGTTAGCTGGCATCCAACGGTGTTAATGTCTGACTTCAATCAATTGTGCAACCGTCCATCATTGTCTCCAATGAGGAACTACCTCTACAAAAAACACAGATGAACTTTACTAGCCACGGCTTCTTGCTAGAACTCCAGAAGATTTATCTTGAAGCCAGTCACTAGTGAGCACATAATAATGTCGTTGATTGGTTGAAGTTAGACATCAACACTGTTGGATGCCGGCTCAGTAGTGTAGACGTTAGGCGTTCTCCAGCGAGGCCGAAGGTCCTGGGTTCTAGTCCCTCATGCGAGATCATGGATACTCACTGCTGAAGAGTCCCGTACTAGGACGGAATGGCCGTCCAGTGTTTCCAAGTTTGCAATGGTGGGCTAATATTTATCCAATCGTAATATTTAAGCTTGTTTACAAACAGCAAACTTAACTCGTCTGTTTGTAATTAAATTAAGATCTGAAATTCCGTGTGCTAGTTAGTTTTGATGAATTCAGTAGACCTTAAGCTTTTTCATAATTGTTTAATAGAACTCTTAAAACATGACTAATCACAATTTTAGTTATTTCTTAGAATATATGGTGTATTGACTACTTACTAGCTAGTTTGCTTGAAAGTTATCAAGTAGTTGATGGGTATCTGGATTTGCTAGCTCAGCGGATAACACGTTGGGTATTTAAAACAAATGATGCTGAGTTAGAGCTTAAATGCGAACATCAACATTAGGATCCAAATATATTCAGCTGACGCGTCCTAAGTCAAACGAAACGCGCGTTCTGTATTGATATGGTAGACTTAAAATTACTGAAAGGTCTGGAATTTTCATAAAAAATGTATTTTTACACTAAAGATTTACTTAATTATTTACTTCATTACGTCTGTCCTATGAAAGAAATGGGCCTTAATAATTTTTGTAAGATTACTTAGTGCGCATAAGTATTTGATATGACAGTAGGTAGTCGATAGGAAACTTTAGACCTAGGTTTTGTGCTTTTTGGGGTTCTTCAGCAGAGTGTTCTAGTGACCTCAAGGGATCTAGTGTTTCCTAACAGATTCTGTGCCGTGTTTCTCAGTTTCACAGTCAGAGATGTTATTACTGAGCTATCAGGATGACAAGTGATATGGTGTATCATGACAGCCTATTTAACTATGAAGCTAGGTGAAACGGGACAGAATCATCCGGGAAGTGCCACTTCCCCCCACACATTACTAACGAGTGTATGTAGCCCAAATCCAAGGTTCCTTACCGACCATCTCCAACTACTTTATATTTCAACATATTGGTTACTATGTAGAATCCCTCAGACTAGTGAGTAGAATGCTGGACCGGACCAGTATCAAGAACATTTTGATATACATGGCATTGGTCACTACTAGTTATTCAATCAATTGTAAATATGTTAAACATAGTAGTGGTTTGTTCGAAGTCGAATGATTATGGAGTTTGATATGATTCATAAAATCATATTTTATTCAACTATTGACGAATAATCAGTTGAAGATAGTTAGTAACTGATAAGTTAGTCTACTAAACAGCACTGTTTTGGTTATCTTATCAAAGGTAGGTTAATTTAAGTTTATAATATTAGATTTACAGTTGGTTGACATTCTCCTATACCATGGGATCGTATCTGGTTTAGTTTTTTTTACCAATATATCAATAATTTGGATTAATTTGATTATCAGTTGTCTTAAAAGATCGTAATTGGCAACCTAAATAATATATTGTTTTTGTTATTTGAATGGTTTTATTACCTGTATTTAGATCATTTGAACAGTTTTTTTTCACTTATCTTCTAATTACTAGGGTGTGGTATCCATAAACTAAAAGGACAACCATCATTATGGGTTTTGACCACATCAATACCACTGAAATCAATGAAAATATAGCGGTAATTATAATCATAAAGAAAATTAACTAGATGACTGAATCTAGATGAGAATGAGGCTAGAGGATAAACAAAAAAATTTTTTGCCTCCTTCACCACATTGATTTTTTTATATTGTCATGACAACATTGTTAGGGCTGAAAAATACACATAGTTTAAATATTTTCTTTGTCTCTGACTGGAAATAGTCAGAGTTTTGAGGTGACAAGTAATAAAATGATTATCGATGAATATATATTGAATATTGGATCGACAAATAATTTTGAATAGAATATATTTAACAGATTCGTATTTCTCTGTTTTACTATAATTTCTTTAACACAACAAAAGTATTTCGTTTCTAATGAAAAGTTTGTGATGACTGTACCTAATGTAAATGATTGTGTATTACAGCAATTCAGTCATACTTTGGAAAGTTATCTAATTGAATATATGAAGTAGTATCTGTGTATGTTAGTCTAAATCAATTATACTGATACCACATATATGTTGTAAGAGTTACTTTACCTTGCTTAATATTTGTAATAATAATATCTGTAATAATTTAAGTGTTTGACGGAATGAGAATTGTGTTTATCTCAATATTTAGAGTGATTAGATTTCTTTTTAATAGCTGAATAACAGATTAATCCATTTTTGGTCAATAGTAATCCGTTCGATTGTCCAGTTTCATTAGTCTACACTACTCTGTTAGATAATCTGTAGTACATGCCAAATAACGTTGTATTGCTTTCAGATAAGCATGTTTTCTAAATATGTATTTTTTCTATATTTTAAGATATTATTAAGTAATAAATTAATAAAATAGTATGTTTTTAAAATTGAAACAGTCATCTTATATATTTTGATCATTTAAGATTTATCTATTAACCGATCGTCACAGCCAAAATTTCGATTTACAAATGAACGTTAAGCTAATGTACGTTCAATTTGGAGCAAAATAGATAATATGGTGTATTAGTTACCATAAAAGTTCAAAATATTATCGTTTAGGGTGAGAAAAAACTGTCGATAAGGTTATAATTGATATAATTTAAACTATTTGAAATATAAATGTTGTATTCCATCCTGAAGATGATATCCAGTTGATGTTATATTCAAAAACAATGTTCTGAATGCAATTTTTTGACCATCTGAATAAATAAGTACAAATGATTGAAACATTTAAGAGAGCGAGACTATAATTTATGGATGAACCAATAGGATATAAGGTAACAGGTCTTGGATTTTGGTGCGAAATTCAATCATCCATTTGGCTAAATAGCGTTTTGGAATTTTTGTGATAAAAAGACTAAATCTAATTCCTAACCCTGACCATCAACTGTTAATTTTCATTGTAATTCCTCACACTAATTTATAACCCACATTTATTACTAGTTAATAGGTGAACATTTTCAATGTTCACTTTGGCGTCGCTCAAAGGCCGTCCATAAATTATAGTCTCACCGTTAGGAGAATAAAATATGATCAAATAATTTATACGTACTGTAGAGGTATTAATTTAATAATTTCATCATAGTCTGAGTCAAGAGGCTTCTTAGTTTTTCAGTAGGTGTATTGTTTATCAATGCTCTCGTTGTGATTCCTTAATATTTAGCTACATACAAATGTGACCGTTTAGAAACTTCAGCTTATATGTCTAGATTTTATGTGAATAATGTGAAATCGCTTTATATTTTCTACATTTTCATTTCACTAGTTAATTCTTTGAATAATTTATTTCGTACTTGAAAATAACTTTTAGTGGCCCGGGATCTGACTCCAATTACATTGTATGAATGTTCGTCATTGAATGATTTCTGTCGAAATATACATGTCACCTATCCTCGTATATTTCATCGACTTAAATCGCGTTATTCAATAACTGAATAAAATAAGCCAAATACGCGAATGAATTTCAAATACTTATATTTGATACAATCGTTGATCCAGAAAAAATATCGAAGGAGAAGCGAAGCGATATGACAAGCGGTGGAGTAAACATGATTATATACGAAGATTGACGGTATGTATATCTCAATAGCGATCACAAACGATTTTACTTGGAGTCAGATCCCGGTCCACTGAAAACTGTAATATTTTAGTTAGATTCAATGATATTAAATCACTGACTAAGATTGGTCAAGAATTCATATTAAGTTAGTTTAAATTCACTAATAAAGATTTTTGTCAAAGATTTTCTGTTATTCATATTTCATTAACTAGAAAGATACCATTAAAGTCCATTTTTGTTATGATATGTCATTATTATCTAAGCTTTGTCAAAACTTATGAACAATGTTTAACGGGAACTTTCAAATAATAATAAGCCATTTTTTCTATTGAATTTATAATAAACCACCTTAAGTGTACTTAGTTTACCAAATTTAGTAATATAACATTGAAATATATAATTAAAATTTACGATTTAATTCTAATCCCGAGTCGTTTTTGTTGAAATTTACTTTAAGTATTCACTTGATTACATGCATTTGGATACATACAAATGAATTCATGATTATGTAATCAGTGTTTTAGTAATGTTGATTCATTGAAATTTTCTTTATTGAAGGTTCCAAAAATATCCGCAATGCAAGCAGAAGTTGAACGTACAAAGATTTCATCGATAACTCCAAATATAGCAACATTAGTGAGTCAACTATTTTATGATTACATTAAGGAGGTTTATTTTTATTTTAATTGTTAAACATGTTGATATTCTTATATATATTGGTTGTTTAGTTCTCCTCATTGATATAGATTGATGTACATTCAGTTGATGAGCTCCGTATAGGAAAAAACGCGTGTCCATGATTACAGCCACCATACTTCATTTCCTAAAATATTGGTACTCCATTTTCCTATCTCTAAAATGTTATTTCGATTCTGGGTTTCTTCTGAATAAAATTGTCAACTTAAGCGTTTTCGTCAATTTCAATGGGATTATTGTTTAAATATTTATAGGTTGTTCAGTAGTACCTAATGAGTTAAGATTCACCGAAGTATAAGATATGATTCAGGCATGAAGTTATGGTTAACAACAAACCTTCACTTAGCTAATTGTCTTCATAATCACGTATAGGGTTTCCAAAAGGAAAGATGAAAATCTCTAGTACTATTGGTTCAGAAATGTACTCTTTTCGTAAAATATTAAACGAAGAAGATTGAATTCAGTGAGGTAATTGTGATTGACTAAAAAAACTGTAAAGAATTTTTTTCTGTAATAGAACTTATCAATGTGATAATGTGTTGATTGTAGTGTTAAATAATCAAAAAATTGACTATTGGGCTAAAGAGTTAACTGTGATGTGAAATAACGTTAAGTTGATAATAATTGTAATTTGAAAAACGGACTAAATATACGGAAACAGTAAAATGAAGTTGGATAGAATTTCATATGATGTACTGAAAAGTTACAAATGAATAAATAGTTTTATCCTTCTGTTCATTTACAAACACTTTAGGATAGAAATGTAGTTAAGTCACAAAATGTATTCGACCAAATGTGAAGTAAATGATTATTCATACTGACTTTATATTTTAGGGGTGATAAATACTCCATGAAATTTCTTGTCACACCTTAGATCACTTTACAAATACACATAATCTGTTATCTTAACACAATTTTCGTTGCACATCAGATGGTCTCATACATACTACAGTAAATACTTACTTTCAACATTTCTAACATGATTGGATGACCAATTTAGTATACGATTAACCGGAGAACCATGTACTTCAAATTCAGTGTCTGAGATTCTATAAATATATTGTTCATCCTTGATGTTTTATGTTGACTCAGCGCGCAATTACTGTGAAACTGTTAGTCCAAACTCAGACGAAAGTTCTTATATATGACTTTGTATTTGTTTGAGTTAGACCGTATATTGGTCGATCGCTAGTTCTCTAACGTCAATTAGAGTAGAATTATTATTTTCTTAATTATTTATCGTAGTTAAATGATTAAAGGATGCTTGTTGGACTTTCCATATTCATTACATTTTATTATCGTTCGAAACAATTTATAATTTTTAGTTGCATAAATAATTGACGAAAAATGAATCGTTTTAACATGTTAGAAGGATTGGGTGGATAAATTCTTAACTTTTTGACACGCTTTTGTATTTCAAGTTATGGTTAACTTATAAGGAAATTCGTTATGTATATTATATTTATGGAAATCTAGTTCTCAATGTTGATCTGTCTAATCTTATCAATAGTAGCATATTTATATTTATCACATAGATAATTTTTATTACAGACAAACATTTGGATGAGAAGTCGCTCTATTTTAAAGACTACATTTCATATAAATTCACTTGGTATTGTTTACTTGAATCTTCGTATTGATGTTTAGGACTGTAATTGATCAGTCTCTTATTGGCATATAGGCATACTGTGCGTATTCCCTCGATATTGCCTTAAGTCACGAGCATTATAGGCAAAGATGGATGGTGGCTATCAGTGGGAGCGCGTTTCGTCCTATATAGGACTCGTCAGCTGGATATACTTGCATCTCGGAGTGAACATCAACTCTGAGATGCAGGTACATCCAGCTGAAGAGTCCTAAATAGAACGAAACACGCCTCCTAGATTCCACTGATAGCAACAATCCATATTTACTTAATTTCATATATCTTATAACTGTTGCGTAATACATTGAAATACATATCGAATGATTACCCATTAGGGTATAATGATATTTTAAAAACTCGAATATTAGATAGAAAATGATTGTTAAACTATTAAGTAGTTAAAATTTAATTTAGATAAAAGTATTTTTAGTGTGAATGCATATTACTTTTATAAACTTGTGATTTATTTATGCATCTTTATTTACACTCTCGAAAGTGGAAAGAAGTAAGAAAGCGTGTTCAAGAGTTAAATGTCGTCTACTTAAACAATAATAATCATTTTTCTGTTACAAATATTTATACAATTGTTTTTTGTTATAGTTAAGTATAATTGACTTGGATAGAAAATATTTTCTGAATAGATAAGTTAATTTTACAGAATTTTAGACTAATGTTTCTGTTTTTACTGGGATATTTCAATATTTTGATTATTTACTAGATAAATGAATCCCAAAATCTCTACTTTTGTATCTGGTTTGCCTCTTAAAAATACTACTAAACTAATTTTATTTCAATTGAGATCATGAACCGATCGATGTTAGACCACCATTGAAAACCTGGAAACATTGGATACTCGTTTCATCCTAGTATGCGACTCCTCAACAGTGTTCATGCAAGACCCCGCACGCGAGACTCGAAATCTAGGACCTATAGTCTCGCGATTGAACGCTTAACCTCTAGACCACTGAGTCGGCGTCTAACGGTGTTAATGTCTAACTTCAACTAATCCACAACTTTATTTCTTTGTCTACTTTTCTGGCAATGTTTATCAGTTTTATTTATAGAATATTCTTTGCAACGATATAAGATTAATGATTGTTTTCAGATTTCTATTTAGTACATATTGATTCTTGTATAAAATCTTCATCAGGATTTATTTAATCCACGCCTAATTAATCGATAATCGGGTGGGACTGATTACTAAGAAGTATTTCTTGTGTGTGGTTATTTTTTCTTTACGAAAAGAATACGTCATGTTTCAGACCTATTATTTCACTCAATACTTTGTAATATTTATATTGCCTATGTTATTATTGTAATATAATCATCATCATTCAAATATCTGCTCAAAATAAATATTGAAATTGTTCTTTTGAGGGTTCATTAAGTGAACACTGCATAGACAGTAAATTTTTGGGAAACTTAAAATCATGGATTTTTTGTATGATTAAAGCTTTCCTATTTCTGATATTAAGGAATAAATTCTGATCATTCTCTACTGGTTAATGTGTATCCTATGCGTAATCCCTTGGTACCACCATTTGTATTGTTTATTGAAGCAAAAGACTATTATTTCCAAGTCCCTGTATAAACATCAATGTTGTTATGCAGGTATATATGAATGACAAGTCTCAACAGGATAAAACACATGTCCTGCATTCCACTGCTATAAACAATCCATCAATCTAATAAACCTTATGAATTTTTGGGATTTTTTGGTAACATAATAATTAAAGGTTAAATTACAATAACACTGCTCTTTATAGTATCAATATATATATATATAATCTGATACTATAAAGAGCAACTGTACCATAACTAGTTTGTATTTGAATTTATATTCATATTTGTGGTAACTTGTGGGTTTGTGCCCCATTAATGTATAACGTAATGATATCACCAATTAAAGAACAGTGAATTATCGACTGGATCAATGACGCATAAAACCGGTACAAGCAGTCTGGAGTCTTTATCGGTCCTGCTTCCTGCCTAGCCTTGCCTGTTGAGTCCAGAACACCGATCTCAGCCTCTGCGATATGAATCCGTGTTTCAAACATACTGGGTTTATATACAAATCAAACAGACCATATCGTACTATAAAATAAAAAAATAACATTTGTACAAGATTTAGCCAAAAAAGGCTGTGAATGTGGGAGATAGTAATTGATAGACTGCGCATAACTCAAGAATGGTAAATCGTATAATAATAGTTCATAGGTCAAAATAATGCCTTATAATAAGAGGAACACGAATATGAATAGTTTAGTTACTTAAAAATTATACAATAAAAATATACGTTTAGTTTTAGTCTTGAAATAGATCCTAACAGTTACTATTCCTTATTGTCATCGGGATATAACAATAATGTGTGATGAATTTTACTATCATACATTGAGAATACTTCATCCATTACATATCCATCATGAATTATAACATCAAACAAATATTCTTAATAGTTTTGTGATGTTAACCATCTTTATACTGAACAATGCTCAACATTATACTGACTATAAGAAAACCTATGTGATTCTAATATCCCTACTAGTTTCCAATTACATTTCTTAAAATATGAATTTAAGCAAACCGAAAAGATGAAAAAAATCTTTCCATGTACTTTATTCTATTAAAATCTTCTTTTCAAAGTAGTAGAATCTATTGTTAGTTGACATGGTGAATTGGTTACACTTTAAAAAGACAGTAATGTTAAAGAATGTAGAACAAAAGTTAGGGAATGAATTTTAGTTACCTTATTTTTACGCAATAGGCGTTAACAAGGATGTATATTGTTTTTTTCTTGCCAATTAGTTCATACATGTTCACTGTGTTCAGTGAGATAATGTAGATTCATAAGTGTATGTGAGAAATGTAGATTAAATATTGGTGGAAATTGTTAAATTAATTAATTCACTTTATCAGTAATAGTGTTACACACAAAAAAACCATTAAAGATTGATGAAGCCTAACCACTAGTCATATTAATAACTAGCAGGCTAATTGAAAATCGTTTAGTAATTCTTGTAATTGATAGAATAATGGGTTCGCTTTAAAAAATCTCAACGTTTTTTTTATTTCCCATGCTTTGTTTATTTGATTACTTACTTACGCCTGTTGCCCCTCGTTGAAGAGCATAGGCCCCCAACCAGGATTCTCTATCGAACTCTAAACATTGAGCTTCTGATTGTTAATCTTATATTCTCACGATCACTCCATTCTAGCTTGTAATCAACTAAACCCTACTTAGCTCTACTCAGTGAATTTCATCAGTTTGTGTTATGCTCATCTTAAATACACTCGTAAATCAGATTTCTCTAACTTCAATGATCATTAAACTGCATATATTTTGGTTCCATCAAATTGATCGTTATTTTTTGTACTAATATTTATTTAATGGTTCTAGTAAATATTCACAGTAAAGTAAAAAGTCTTAGACCATTACGTGTTTTGAATGAGTTTCTTATTGACCCCGATTAAAATTATTCTTCATTAGGTAAGTAATTAAATTTAACATCTCTACATTTCACTCAAAGAATATGTAGTATCTTTTACAATTCTACTATAAAATTTATTATATAACCTTTTATTCAGTTAAGAAAATATCAGTGTTTTTGAGCAGTTTAATTAAATGGATCTTTGGTACGTCTGTAATTTATGGAAAACCTTTGAGTCATGGTAAAGTGGCCTTGAGAAACCTGGACCACCTACTAGGGTGAAAATAGTGTTATAAATTAGTGTAAGGAATTAGAACTAAGAGTTAGAGTTTGGAATTTAAGTTTTAATTTTCATCACAAACTGACAGCAAGAATGTCAAAATATCATTTAACCCAAATCCAGAAGTCACTATCTTGAATCTAATTGATTCGTCTATAAATTATAGTCCTGCCGAATTTTCTAGTCCTTATTTGCATATGACTTACTAAATATTTAACACATCCTGAAGACTTCACATCTATATTTGTTTATTGACTACTGGATCCAACTAAATTTCTGTTCACTAGAAAATATACATTACTAAAAAGGATATTTTTATCCATGTTTTATTTACAGTTAATTTATAATTTTCCGTGCAAGTTGATGTCATATATTCCAATACTCCAAAGTAAATTGATAATACTTTCCCCTATTTATTTCCTTCAATTTATCAGCTTCGAGTTGACTATAGGAAGTTTCAAATATCCAAAGAAGAATTAATTCAATTCTCTATTTCTCAATTGAAAGTTATTATGAATGATTTGCATTCTAGAATCGAAAGTGAGAACAATAGTTTTGATTGTATTTATTCTCGTTTTGAATATTGTATAACAGACTGGAATTCAGTAGTCTAAATTGTTTTAAAAAATTATTATCAAGAACTATCTTCACATTGAATAAACATTCTTAATGACATTGTTGGTGCATTAAGTCGATATTGGAAAATATCTAGGAAAATTAATATCAGATTTTATAAGTTTGTAATGATCCATAACATTTTATGGTCGGATAAAACTGGTCAGTCTCTATTAATTGCTGATTAGTAAATTTCAAATGAATTAATTTGTTAACTGATTAATTAGTATTTTTGTATGCATTGTATATTGGTGTTATATCTAGAACTTGAATTTTTGCTATACTGCCCACAACTTGAGCACTCGAACGCTTGAACCCTCCAAGTCTCAAGTTAGAAGACAAAAGACAAGTGAAAAGGAATCTTTTTCCAACCAGAGTCAAATATCGTACAAAACACTTGGGTATTTATATTTTTAGTAAAGACAAAATCATCATTACAATCGTCCAGTCCATATGCAGTGGTTTTTAGCATTTGTCCAATCGGGAAGCTACGGGCCGAGATTCTGAAATATCCTTCTAAACGATGACTGGATAGAATGTCCTCAGTTCTTCCAGAGCTCCTTAGAGCTTCCTTGAGTTCACTGGGAGCCGTTTCCATGACTAGCGAACGAATTTCAGAAAATAAAGCTGATTCTATCAGGGTGTATGAATAATTTATAATTAGCAGTAGATTTTGTTTGATTTAGTGGCTAAATTTAAGCAGTAATTATTTCAGTAACACTGTGATACATCTGATGAATTCCAGCTTAGAATTTAGTATATCAGTTTGTAAAACAGTATGATAGATTCAAGTCAGGTTGAAAAAAATTGAATTTTTGCCAGCAAAAAGTTTGCCATCAATGTTTTGTGTATCTTAGTAATAAAAATGACCACGAGGTAAATACCTCAAATCGATCTCAAGCGGTTCAAATTAAATTGTTGTGAATGAATCCTTTATTTTATTTTGTATTATTGTCTTGTATTATTGATAAAATATTCCTGATCCTACTATTCTATTATTTCAGGTCTAAACAATTCTCTCATGTTGTCATTAGTTGAAAGAGATGAGTTGCACCTAGAACAAGGTGGTAAATTAATTGCTTTAGAAGATATCAAGTCGTAAGTTATTTTCAATCTTGTTTTATATATTGACTTTCAATTAAATAATTTTAATAGTTGAATTCATGAGCTGATCTAAGCTAGACCTCCATAGAAAACCTAGAACTAGGACGAAACGGCTGTCCAGTGCTTCCAGGTTTTCAATGGTGAACTAGTTTAGATCGGCTCATGAATTTAAAGATTAAAATTACTACAATCTCCACAATTTTTCATTCTGAAAGTTAAATAATTGATAAGAATTAGAAGCAGTATGGTTTTATGGTTCATAATATCAATAATGGAAAGTTACTAGCCATTACTAATACCATCATAGCTACTGAACAAGGTAATGGCTATCTAGAGTCAGTATCCTCAATGGATAACATGCTAGCATTTTTAGCAAGGGTTACTGAGTTCGAACGTCAGTGGTAATATCAACAATAAAATTTGTCAAAACGCGAATCCTGGACTCTCTTGCTAGTTACATATGAAATTCGCTGAACAGAATTTTGTTTAGTTAGCTTTAAGTCACACATTTTGTCAGTGGAAGGATTCGAACTTGCAGCTCAAATTTTAGGGTTCGAGTACTTTGACTAATAGTTCACTTCTACATATTGACTTTTACATTTGGGTTACTTGACAGAAACGTTAAGTATGTATTATGCCTTGTGTTGGCTGACCCAGATTACGATCAGAATTCTAATATGGTCTACTTCGCATCTACTATTTTCTTGAAAGTCTAGTGTCCGCGAATTGACAAACTATACTCCAGATTAGTACTACTACCCTTTGCCGCACAGCTAAGACCCTATTGGTCTAGTGTCTGCTAGCTTTTTTTATGTCCTGCCTTGAGTCTAAAAGTCAGCAACCAGCTGTTACTATATCTTATGATGTTTCCGTACCGCATCACACTATAAAATATAAAATAACAATTATACACAAACAAGCCCAAATTTTCTGTGAGTAGGAAAGATTTTAAATAATAGACCGGTAAGAAGTCAGGACTAGTAAACCGTAAAACAGTAATTAGTGGGCCAACTAAAAGCTTATGATAAATGGGGTGTATATACATAATCTAGTTACTTGATAATTATACAAAAAAATAAGTAATAATTTGGAAAACCAGTTCTAGCTTTTATAATATTCGTTCCATCATAAAATTATACAATATAAGATTTGATGGTTGTAACTGTTGAAATCTGTGTAGAAAAATCAACGAATGAAAACTGATAGTAAGATTTAACAATTTTTACATACGCTTTCGTAGATGATCATTGAAGTTAGTTGAAAATAGAAATAAATGTTTACAGTATAACCGGTATATCTGTAATATGACTGACGCTAGACTGTAAATGCCTAAGTAAACTCCACTCCTTTTACAATTATTTTCAGTTACCAAGCTCAAGTTCAGTTTACAAGAGATGTCACCTGATTAGTGTAATAAAACCGCACATTTATGACATAGCTAAGTAAGATGCTGCATAAAAAGCATCGGGTCCAAGTGTAACTGTTTACTGACCATTTAATTTTTGTATTCAGTTTGGAAGTCAGAAAAAAGTGTATTCAAATTAATTGGATTTCAGTAAAGTAACATTATCGATCTCCAAATCTACTTGTCAATATAAATGTCTTTCAAATGATGTCGAAAAATAGTTAGATGAGTTATTGAGAACTTGTTTTGTTAGTGATAAAGATTCCTAAGTGAGTAGTTTTTTTAATCAAATAATCTAAAAGCACCCCAGTAATTTGGAACGCCCGGAGGAATCGAGAAGAAATGTATACATGTTTCTCAATGACTTAGAATGTTTGGTCCCCTCTGTTAACTGTTTCACTAGTTTACATTTTTATTTATCCACACTAATGTTGTGTCTGTGAGGTAGTGTTATGAGAATTCCATATTTGGAGTTATTCAATCACTGGTCAGTCGGTCAACCGAAACGTAGAAGATGGTATATATATGTAAACTGGTTCAAGTTGCCATACCCCATTAGCACAGAGAAATGCAGTCGGTCAGGCCAAATCACAGAACAGTAGAAATAGTAATAGTATGAGTAGTGACTGAAAAGATCAGGCATCAAAGATACGATCCAAGAATAAAATATAAATTATTAAAATAAAAGCACAAAAATAGTTATGAGGAGTTTAGAAGGTCAAAATTCAGGGGAAGACAGAAAATGGATGCATCTGCGTCATCGCAAACTATTTCGGGCTGTTTCATTCAAAGTTTTTAACCATTGATTACGATAATTATTCAGACCCCAACCAAGTAATCTACACCTGTTAACACAGCTCAGTTCAGTTGTCAGTGACTTCATGAACTGATGCCTTGTTTTCGTTTGCCCAACCCTAGCTTTCTTCCAGCCTACCCCTCACCGGACATTATTATCGTCAAGGTAGAAGTTAACACATTTTACATACACATACACACGTAGCACGTGTTTTAATCATCTTAGTTGGTGAAGATTTACTACCTCACCAATCGATTTACCATCCTTACTTAGTACCTTATTCCAATGGCTGGTGAACAAAATGCAGATTCAATTCATTGTCCTTTTCTTGTATGTTTTGGTCTTAATCAGCACACTTCTTAATGGCAGTTAAAACATGTCCCAGTTTTTACATCTCACTGCCTATTCTACAAAAGGCAGAGTAAAAACATTCAATAAATAAACAAACATGTTTTTTTAGTCGTTTATTATACTTACAATACAAACTGGAAAGCTATAACACCGTTTTTAAAATAGTTAACTGTCATTGTTGAACAGGGCAAACATTTGATTATTATTGAATAGTAAATATGTGTAATAAGTATAGACTATACACATTTTAACAATCACCACTTTTAAACAACAATTAAATCAAAGTACACTTCAAAATGTCGGAAATTCAATGAGGAAATTCAAAGATTTTTCTTAATTCACTTGTGCATATTTCTATTTCAATAATCATAGTAATAATTGATCAATCAGCAGTAAATTGATTGTATTAAATGATATGCAAGGACTTTTAGTTTTGCATGAACGGATTGATGGAAAATTATCAAATTCAATAATTTTCATAACTTCCTCCTATACTATAAAATAAAGATTTGTACGACATTATTATCTTGAAATTACTAATGGAAGGTTACTGACAATTCTACATAATTCTCACTTTATGTTTCTAGTTAACAAGCTGTAAATGTATAATATATTGAAACACTTCAGTCGACCAATCGGAATTGAGATTGTGGTATGTGCTACCGATATCAACAGATATCAGTAGTATGTATCACCAGTCGAAAGTAAAATGCCTGGCGACAGAAGGTTAATAAGGTCGAAGAGAAGAGAGCGAGAACAGAGTGTGATTGGTGTAGAAAAGAAGGAACAACAAAGTCTGAGACAATTGATTGACATTTTTCAAATGAAGTTTTTGCTGTATCGTTCTCAGATTTTTCTGAGAGATTCTGTATTTTTGTAATTATACATCTGGTTGTCCCCACTTGTGTTCTCGGTCATTACAGAATAACACTTCATTTATTTTACGCGAAGTTTAAAGTGAAGTGGTACATAACATGTATGTCGTTATTCACCAAATTAAAAGTATTCGGTTCTTAAAATATTTGAAATCAATGAAAATATCTATTATACAACCGAAATCTTAATTTTAGATGGGGCCTAAGCTAAATTACATAACATGCGTACTCTTAAGGAACATCATGTTAATGTACGTGATGTAGTTCAAGTATTCACCCTTTCTTAATCTTACTCTAAAACCCAACCCTAAGTTTCTCAAGGTTCTACACAGTGTGGTCATAAAGCAATAGATTATAGCTCATTTCTGTTCGTGTTGAAAACCCTGACCCCATTTTCTAAACGTAACTCAAAACTGCAATTAAACTATATACATATATATATAATGTGAATTTGTCTTTTTTCGTTACTACGAGGTATAATTTGACTTGTGAGGGTTAATTATCACGATTAAATCTATTATTCCACTGTTATTACCCTCTATCGTTAACTATTTTATAACTAGGTAGCGTTTCCTGATTTGCTGATAAGTCACCCATGGTCGTCTGTATATTATAGTTTAACCTAACAAACTTGATTCGAGGAGTCAGTCAATTTTTTTAAGTGTATATTTTTTATTACTGGGGATTGTAGTTTACTGGCTTGTTAGAAATTAAAGATTCTGAGACTGTGGTTTATTTGTTCATGGACAGATATAAATTCTTTACCATTTTCTACTAAATTTGATGTAAATCTATTTTGATTCATGAAATATCAATAAAGTAGTCTAATTTGAATGTATCTTATGGATTTGACGAAATCGACATGTTAACTGTACTGAAAATTTTCATTTATATGGCACGTAATTTCACTTCGTCATTTAGGGTAACTTTAGCTTCTTTTTAAATTAGTGTAACATAAGGTTTTTCTTATCTATTTAAGCTTATCAATATCTAATTTCTTTTTTCTATTTAGCTGGATTAAAGAACTCAGTATTCGTTCATCAATTCCTCAAGTTAGGCGACAATTATTTCTCAATCTTTCAAGTAATTTATCAAATAACACATACAGTAATGATATTTTTCCTAAACCTCAAACTAAACATAACACTTTACCAAAAAGACCGCAATGGATGACATCTTTATTTGGTCGAGCATCACAGCGACATACTCTCTCATTATAAGATTATATATTAATTTTCTTTTTGTATATCTCAGATTTCATATATTTCCCTAATTGAAAAATTTATGATCTTCATAAATATGTCTTGTTCATTCCTAAATCCTATTTAACTTGTCTAATTCCCATCCTACTTGTGCAGCTAATCATTTTTCTTCAATTATCTAACAGAGTAATTGATGTATGACAGGATCTAAAATAATCTGTTAAAAACAAAGTCAGATGAAACGTCAAATTTATCGATCAGAAACTTCTTTTTGTTTTGCCATCATAATGTTTATTTCTATGTTAAGATATATGATGATTCGTCTGTTTACTTTTTCTACAATATTTGAAACTCATTGTTGAAACTACTATTAATAATAAATAAATAAAGTTTGTTAATATGTTACAACACAATACTTTTCATTAGAATTGTTTTTATTCTCTTTATATGTGTACGTTGATTTTATGTCAAAAGTACAGTAAAGATGAAGGAAACACAACAACAACCATTCGACCGGACAGATAATCATGTATGTTCACTAGTCTTTAGTTTGTTAATGGATTTCGTTAGTATTTTTTTATGAGAAGTCATTACTGGTGTCGTTTAATCATATGAAGACTAAGACAGATATATTTAATGATCGTCGTTTTTTTTAAGTTATGAGTTAAAATACTCTTAAAATGTTAACCATTGAATTTTAACTATATGGTCGGGAAATATTTTTCTTGTCGTTAAGATACCTGAAATCTAAAGTGTACACCGTTAAAGAGAATTAAAAAGAAACTATTTCTCATTACTCCTTGTTTATTAACAGTTCTTTAGCTAATGACAATCAGCCATAACTAATGTAGAATTGAATGCATATATATATCAGTCCCACTTGTCGCATTACATCAGCATAGTGGTATGAAGGTATCAAGATAAATGTGAGAATAATTAAAACAGTAACAATATTGATGGTAAAAAAACGCACTTGGAATAGACATTATGATTCGAGTAGAATGAAGAAATTCATAGAACAAGACAGTATAAGGTGATTTTATAACTTAAGATCTCAGGAAAGATAATGACTGAATGTATTTGTGCTATTTTGAGCTATTCTAAGTCACATCACCCGACGTTTCTAGCCATTAATTATGAGCTAATGACAAGTTATGGTTAAAATTATTCAAAATCATTTTTGAAGGTTAAAAAAATAGTACATATCCAAAATATGATTGTATGGAGTTCAAAATGACTTCACTTAATAGACAGGTCTCATGATTCATTATGAAATGATTTCTGATTAATATCAGTGTACAAATGTAAGACATATACATTTTATTCTTAGTGATAATAAGGTTGTACATTTTGGTTTCCTTGTTAACCTTTTATTATTGATTTTTATGTTGATTAGTATCAATTTATCAAAAACTAACTTCAAATAGGTAGCATACGAATTATTCCTAATAGTGGAAGTAGATTTAAAAAAACTCGGATTTACACTACAAAATAATAATTTAAAACTATTTCACCTCAAACTAGAAGCATGAAGAGCCATCAATCATATAAATTGCAATGATGTTATTCAATAATGTGAAACACTAGTATAGAGTGCTAACATGTCACCTTTCTTATTAAGTAATCATTCTTGAAACATCGACTTCGGTGGCTTAAACATGTTCTACGAATGCTAGTCCCAGAGAATCCCACGTCGTGCGTTACTTTCCGATTCTCGGGCCGGTTAGAAAAAGCGGAAAAGTGATGAGTATACGATATGGTGTCGTGGTATGAAAGAAATCTGTACAGGACTGGCTTCACGTGGTCCTTCATGACTCCCTGGTTGAGGTCCTGGAGATGGTGCAACACAGTGATTTGAGACGTTATCAGACATGGATCAGAGTAGAAGCGATTGACCATTCTTCAGTAACTTTCTTCATAAATGTGAACGTAAGCTTCTTGAACTGAAAGAATTCTTTCTGGTTGTATTTTTATAACTGAACTGTTTTTCCCATTATTATTATTACTATTATTATTATTATTTCACTCTCATACACTAATTTCTGTTCGTTTTAGTCCTCCCTTTTCTTGTGCTCACTTTACATTCTCTATTTCTTCACAGCCCCTCATTCCTATTGTGCGGTACACAAGTATTTGGTGTCCCTTCATACCAATATTTATGTGTTCAAATAAGTAGATATTTCTTATTTAGCAATATCTTCATCGTTTGGGTTATTCTTTTGATTATTATTTGTCAAGTCCATCGATCGCTTTTGTGGACACATTGATAACAGAGATTTTCAATTAATGTCTTATATTAATTTCTGCATTCATGAAACAGGGAAAAGTATCCTTTTCAAAACGTATGATTTCAAAGACACCTAATCAATTTGTTTGGTGATATAAAAAAGTCATATATAAAATATTTATAACATCTAGTTACTTAGTGGTACAACTGTGGTCATCTACATATAATCGTTTGTTTTATTACAGTCAAGGATTTCTGTTGTTTACATTTTGATAATAATATGTTTTAAAGACAATTCAGAATCCAGTTTTGATAATAGCTTGAAATAATAACAATCCAAACTCGAATTGCTATTATGATATGTGATTCTTCTGTCATATTTCATGTTTATATGTGTGTTGCTAACTAATCTTCAGAGTGCAAAAGCTTATCCAAAGTATATTGTGCTTTATGAGGACACTCTATTATGACAACTACAGAGGACGTGGTGTTTAGACCTTAGACTTCCATTTTGAATATTAAGAACCCAATCGAAATTTACTGTGATAAGATAATATTATTGGTGTGTGACACTAGGTTTCTTCGTCACAATCTGTAAGTAGTCTGCTTTTAAGAACAGCTTAGCTCACTTGTGGACTACCTAGAATGCTACTATATTTTGTTAATCAGTAAATTTGAAATGTTTCCTTATTTTCTGTTTTCATATAGACATAGTCAATTTTAAAATGAGCTAGATTTCGTGATCAATCTCGTCCATGGAAATTGTTGAGCAATCTGTCCTACCGTCATTAATTTTTAAATAGTCATATCTGATTACAGATGCTTTCTAAACAGTTTCACGAATGACTTTTTGACCGATCATTAGAATATTCAAAGACTTGAAAAGAAACTCTAGTTATTGTTGAAGTAGTTATAAACGACCATTTTCATTGATCTGAATTCATCATAATAAAAAACCTGTATAAATTATTGTCGGTGTCATATTTCAAATGCATCGAAAGAACAATATTCTATAAGTATATCGCAATTTTTTTCTTACTTCTCAGTACTCATGGCTTAAACAATAATCACCAATTAGTTAAATAATTTCCACAACTAAATATAATGAACATTCTTGATCAAGATAACAAAAAAGTAGTCTAATACTATTTGGCATTAATTCATACTTATTCCCATGAATATTAAATATCTTAAGTAGTTTTCATATTTAATAGTTTAGTTTCAAAAAACAATATTTTTTTTCTGTTACCAATCTTGTTTAGACTCCCTAATTTAACGTGGAAAAATATTTGTATTCATAAGTTAAATAACACGAAATTTATTCAGATAAATATACGATCTGTTTCTGGTATTGGACATTTGATGCATAACGCATAACATGAATCTGAGTTGCTTTCTGGTTGCATATCTACTTCTAATATTTCTTAAAAAGGTGAAACTGGATCAATTTTACAAACAATGAAGATGATTGATACTATATGAGGACATGATAACATAAGTTCGCCTATACCAAGCTAAATTTTGGCTATCCATATTGGATATAGAGAAGTTGTAGATCTAGAAAAGTCCGAAGGTTCTGGGTTCGGATCCCGTGTGCAGGATCGTGGATGCACACTGCCGTTAAGCAGTCCCATACTAGGATGAAATGGCCGTCCAGTGCTTTCAGGCTTTCAATGGCGGTCTAACATTGATCCATTTATGATCTCAATCAAAGCTTGACAATCTCCACAACCCTTTACTGATAATAATTTTATGGTTTAACTACCCTCTTATTTGTAAACAAATTTTATTTACCTAATTCTGTTCGGTTAACTAATAATCGTTTTCCCTTATATCCCTATTGACAAACATTTAAAGTCTTATAACAACTTTTTCTTAGGATTTAGCTTTGTAGTACTTGTATAATTTTCAAAATTAAAATGTTGCCGCCCATGTTTATTTAATTACATTCTTTCTTCTTTTTTGGGGGAAACGTTACCGTCCTGTTATTGTTTCTGTCAATTATTCATTTTGTAGAAATTAAACTTTACGATTATTTATTTTGAGTGTTGTTTGATAAATCGTTTAACATTGATTATTGTTATTTCTGTGAAAAATCATGTCAAATTAAAAACCAAAATCTTTAAACCAATAAACTACTGAATTTCAAGATTTCTCATGTAAATTGTCCTTTATACACTTAATTTCAAATAGTTTTATCATTTCCTTTGAATCCATTTATACTACTTGATTTCTCATTTATTGTTATTTAAATAATTTTAGAGACTTACGTTATGTATGTAGCTCTAAATTTCATTTGATTGTAGTATAAGCAGAATGTTATAAATCCAAGGTTCAGACTTATCAGTTTATTGAGTCTATATTCTTAAAATGATCCGTATTCGTCCCACGATGTTCACATACCAGTATTGTTTCCACTGTAATATGTTTAGATCAGAAATGTTGAAATAAACCAATTGGTTGTTGATATGATTGATAGTACTCAGTTAGTTAAATTAAAAGCTTATTCAAAGAACCTATCTCTAAATTTCAAACGAATAAATCAGAAAAGTTAGAACTACTGACTAATTAAATAAATATTTGTGTTTGTTTAGTAATTCAAACAATTACGTATTTTTTAATGTACGTATTAGATATATAACTACTAATAATCAGGAAGGAATAAACAACTATTTCATCCTATTATTCAACTCAAAATTGAACAACTCAACTGATAATCGAACTCATAACCTCCAGGTTTTCTACGCTACGAGGTCTGAAGGTTCTGTACTCAACCCTCTATGGGATCTTA